TAAGATAGATTAAGATAGATTAAGATAGATTAAGATAGATAGATTAAGATAGATTCAGATAGATTAAGATAGATTAAGATAGATTGAGATAGATTGAGATAGATTGAGATAGATTGAGATAGATTGAGATAGATTAAGATAGATTGAGATAGATTGAGATAGATTAAGATAGATTGAGATAGATTAGGATAGATGAGGATGGATTAGGATAGATTAGGATAGATTAGGATACTTGCGAACAGATACCACCCTATTCAAGTGATGTAATGCATTATGTGTTCGTGTCTTCCTTGTCGGGACTGGTGTATTCCTGCAAATTTCGGGGCACTGGAAGGGGTAATCTTTTTTTTTACCTTCCATTCACGTGTCTACGGGATAATGTGCGTGTGCATGTCTGTTGCGTCGCTACTTCATTCCTTCACCACGCCCAAAGGGCAAGTTTCCGGGCAACGCTATACTAGCAATACTAGCAAGCAACCGCAAGACAACCTGTGGGCCTTATCACCCACCATCATCCGTCGTCACAGCCAAGCCGGGCACCAATACCGATTTGCGTTGTGGCTATTGAATGCTATTGACGCGTGGCCAGAATGCTTATCCTTTGCCTACGGTGGAGTAGCCCGGCGCACTGGTAGGCTGGCTTTTTTATCCACTATTGTAGTGTTGTCATGCCTTTACCGTTATCATCAGGACGTGTAAACCGAGAGGCTCCAGAAGAAAGGGACGCAGCTTGGACATCGGATGCGGGTGTGGGGTACACTTTGGGCTGGGCTGGCGGATGTTTCTAAGTGACAACGGCCGCCACAGATGCGCCATCTGGTTGTGTTCAAGTTCTACGGATTCACATGGCATTGACGTGCCAGAGTGTTATATCATATCAGTATATATGTGTACATATAACAAGTAAATACTATATATATAGTATGTGTGTGTGAATGTCATATTCTAATATATATATATATTAGAATAAGGTTTCGGAAGGAAACCACAATTGTTGCCTGAGTGTGCCTCGACCCGTGTCTCAATGTTTGGCGCAGTCGCTGTTTCATTCGATGTTATTAAAGACTGCGGGAACCTACCCTGATGCGGATTGATGAATTTCCAGATTTTTCGCTGCGAACGCGAAAGGTGCCTTTCTGCTACCACTTTAGCCGTTGAACGGCATCGCTGTAAGAAAACTCTGCACGGACAATTTTCAGTCAAATGACCGATGACGTTATAGAAAATCGTAGCCGGTGGCCCAGTTGGTAAAGAGTACCGCCCAAGGCCCCAGAACGGTACTAACGCGACAGTCATAATATGTCCCAAATGTCGGCGCAGCTTTCCAGCCCCAATTTGCCGTCCAGCTCGCTTCGTTTTAAGCCGTTGTGGATTTGGCTATATATTATGCCATATCAAGTCTTGGCAAAAGCTTCATGGTCGCTTTTCTGTATGGTTGAAATATGTTGACCTGTTTGCCTCATCAATGGGGCCACTAGATCCTGTCAAGACGATTTACTGCCATTTGCCTCAGATTTGTGCATCAATGTCAATGTCTCTCTGTCTACCAGCCTGCTGAATGTTTCACGACAACGGATGCGGAATCAGCATGAATCAGCCAGATCGCAGCAACAAGCAAACACCTTTTTGTACAATTGCCGTTTGCACAGCTCTGGACTAATCAGCTTAATGTCGTGTCTAACTTTGACACCGAAGAGACACCTTTGCCCTAAGCAAAGAATGGATATTGCAAAAGTTTACCCTCCAGCAACCTAGCCTGGTAATGGAAATCCGGGTCAAAAGGCTGCAAACTGTGGATTTGCCATTGCCATCTTCGATTGCCGGAGGGTACACATCTGATGTGGACTGCAGAGCTCTGGCGACAATCTCAAAAAACAACAGTCAAAAGAGCTGCAAATGAAAGTTTCACATAGATTGTGTTTTTTTCATGAAATGCTTATCCAAAGCTCGCGCCTTTACCAGGAAAAGGTGCAGACTTTGCGGGCACGGTATTGCGGCTTGCTGGTAGCTCAGATTTCCGAGCAGCAGCTTTAAGTTTGGCGGAACTCCAAGCTCATTGGGTGGCTATGGCTGAGAGTTCCGAAGGGGCGATTTTTTTTTTTTAAGGAACTTTTTTTGTTTTTTGGTTTCCTATTAGTTTTCTTCCATTTTCCAGTAGTTTTCCTTCATTTTTTAATAGTGTTCCTTCATTTTCTATTAGTTTTCCTTCATTTTCTACTAGTTTGCATTCATTTTCTATTAGTTTTCCTTCATTTTCCATTACTTTTCCTTCATTTTCCAATAGTTTTCCTTCATTTTCCATTAGTTTCCCTTCATTTTCCATTACTTTTCCTTCATTTTCCATTAGTTTTCCTTCATTTTCCAATAGTTGTTCCATTAGTCTTCCATTGGTTTTCTTTCATGTTCCATTTTCTATTAGTTTTCCTTCATTTTCTAGCAGTTTTTCTGTATTTTCCAATTGGTTTCTTTCATTTTCCGTTAGTGTTCCTTCATTTTCCCTTTGTTTTCCTTCATTTTCCATTAGTTTGCCTTCATTTTCCATTAGTTTTCCTTCATTTTCAACAGTTTCCAATAGTTTTCCTTCATTTTCCACTAGTTTGCCTTCATTTTCCACTAGTTTTCCTTCATTTGTTTATTAGTGTTCCTTTTATTGTTCAATTGTTTATCATGTTCCATTAGTTGTCCTTCATTTTTTATTAGTTTTCCTTCATGTTCCATTAGTTTTTCTTCATTACCACTAGTTTTCATGTATTTTCCAATAGTGTGCCTTCATTTTCTATTAGTGTTCCTTCATTTTGCTTTCATTTTTTTCACATTCGTTTTATGGCATGTTTTGTCATATGTTTTTCTGTTTTTTTTGTCACTGTTATTCTGATGCTTATTTGTTTGATAAACTTTTGTGTTTGCATATGTTCAAATATGTTCAAACATACACCAAGGCTCGTAACTTCACCCCAAGGATGGCGTTAATCTATATATGTATTTTAAAAAAATGAATAACTATGCGCCATGTATTTATATATGATTGTACATATCGACCAACGTGTAGCAAGTGAAGCTGATTTAAAAATAAAAGCGGGTGGGGGGGTGCAGGGGGGAGGGCGCAGCGCCTCCCCCCGCAATGCGTACCAAGAAAGAAGCACATCGGCACAAGTGGCGATGGATATAAATAAAGATTAAGAAAGAGAAGGTGAACCCAAAGAAACGATGCTTATGAAAGAAAGGAAAGGGTGTAGGTAGCAAGAGAAGCCGATTAAAAAATAAAAGCGGGTGGGAGGGCGCAGCGCCTACCCCCGCAATGCGTACAAAGAAAGAAGCACATAGGCACAAGTGGCGATGTTTCTTTTTACTGAAGTAGCTTTCGCTTTGAACGGTTGTCCATGGCCAAAAGCCAAAAGCCAAGCGAAGCCACAGCCACCAGAAGCCAATACACACCAGATCCAACAAGTGTCCTGAAACAAGGGTTTTCAATGATGGAAAAGGGCTAGTTCGGACACTTGTTGAAAAGAGTTTTAGTTCCTCTCGCACAAGCATGCATAGAAACCCACGAGTAAACGTCTGAGTTTCTTGCAACAATTGCTCAACCCAAATGACATGAATGTAGTTGGAGTCCAGATTCAACAAGTGTCCTGACATGCGTTTTTTTCCCCTAAAAGGGCTAGTTACGACACTTATTAATATGGTCTTTATTCCTCTCGCACACGCCAAAGGCAAAAGGCCAAATGACCAACAAACCAAATGCAAAATGCGAAGTGAAGCGAATGCTACAAGCCAACAGCCAAAAGCCAAAGAGCCAAAAAGCCAAAAAGCCCAAGAACCAAAAGCCAACAAAACAAAGCTAGAAGAGAAAAGCCACAAGCCAAAAGCCGATTTCTTTAGGGTGTCGTAAAGCCAGGTGAAACCAAAAGCCAACAAGCCAGAAAACCAAAAAGGCCAGAAGCCAAGAGCCAAAAGTGAAGCCAAAGCCAAAAGCCAAAAGCCAGGTGAAGCCAAAGCCAAGAGCCAAGTGAAGCCGAAGCCAAAAGGTCTTATTTTCCTGCGTTCATTTCCCGAAGCATGGAATACGTAGTTCAACTATCATTATGTATCTTTTCTTTACGTATATTAAGGGAAATACGAGTCTTATTTCCCTATTCTTTCCCGTAACATGGAGTAGTTCAAAACAATATAGCCAAGAGCCAAGTGAAGCTAAAACCAAACGCCAAAAGCCAGGTGAAGCCAAAGCCGAAAGCCAAGTGAAGCCAAAGCCCAAAGCCAACAGCCAAAGTGAAGCCAAAGCCAAAAGCCATGGCCCAAAAAAGCTAAACGCCAAAAAGCCAAAAGCCAATAACCAAAAGCCAAGAGCCAAAGTGAAGCAGCTAAAAGCTAAAAGCCAAAAGCACAAAGCGAAAAGCCAAAAGCTAAAAAGCCCGAGCAAAGCCAAAAGCCAAAAGCCAAAAGCCAAAAAGCCAAGTGGGCACTCGAAGCCAAAAGCCAAGTGGGCGCGCAAATGAGAGATCCTAGCTCCAAAATGCATGCAAAACACAGATTTTAGCTCCAAAGAGCAGCAAATAGCAGGGAAAGCTGCTCCAGACTGAAAAACAAAAAAAAATCCTAAAAAAAAACTAAAAATATATACCCTCCGTTCCGAAGCCCACTTATGGCTACAGAAAGATATTGAACTGATATGATATGTCAATATAGTTCAATATATTTCAATATATTTCAATATATTTCAATATGTGTTTGTATTATTTCAAGAATGTTCATCAATTTTATTCAATTTTCAATGTACATTGGGGTCCAACGTGAATCTGTTTCCATGCTAACCTTTGCATCGCCATATGTGCCAAGCCCCCCAACGACTGGGCAGGAACCAGTCGGAGCCGATAGCACTCCTCATCGTGCATCGATGGGACCATTGTGTCAGTTGCAGGTCCTTTTTGGGATCCTGAAAAGTCATGGTAAGCAGTTTGGCAACCAGTTTGGTTTGGCTTAAGGTGCTTGAGAAAAAAGGTGACTGGTCTAAGTTCGAAGCCTGCAACCTGGGAAAAACTTGTACATTGCTCTCATCCAGTGGGGCCGAAATTTGGCTGCCCAATTTGGCCGCCAAAGGCGCAGATCCTTGCAGCCATTGATGCCGGACCGATGCCTTTGATGCCTTTGACGCCTTTGGCTCAGTGGTTCTTTTGTTCCAGGCGGAGATTCCATTGCAGCGCTTCATTCACTGACCGAAACCAGTCTGCGGTGACCTCATGCAGCTGCTCGGCAAGATCTTGAACCGACTACTCTTAATGGCTGGTCCAAAAAGGTCTGATGTAACAGGAAGGAAACTGCTGGGGCAAGTCTCAAGCAAGTTGCAGATGACTTGCACACCGTTGGAATGGGATACTGCGAAACTTCCACTTCAATGAAATCACCACGCTTCAGTTCAATCCGGTCCTGCCAGGTGCCAATAAGGCAGGCTATGGTCCATGGTGGCGTCTGTGTGCAGCAGTCTGACTTCTATCGTGACTCATTTTCGCCATTCCGAAAAGCGTAGGCGTTACGAGTGTACAAACTTTGTTATCTGAACTTATGAATTCCAAAGATGGACCCAACCTGTGAAAGCGGCAGCTAGAATTGTGGCATCGTTCAAAAAATTAGCAGTATGGAATGCATGAAACAGGGCCATGATTTTCTACCAAATCATGGCCTGTTCCTTCCGGAAATGCAAACCGCCATGGTTTTTTCAACCGATGCAATGCCAAACGTTCAGCTTTGCCAAGCGTCGAGCTAAGTGGGATCAATCCAAACCTGCACATCCACAGCGCTCCTTGCCATCCACTGCCACCATCACTTTCTGGCTCCGCGAGCTCAATGGCACTTGAACCTTCACGACCTCAAAGACAGCATGCTGTGCAGCCATCTAGTAGCTCTGGCTTTGGACCGCCAATGCCCTAGGTATCATTGTTGAAATGTAGCTGACTGACTGTAGTACACGATGGCGGGTAGTCATGGTGCTTTAGGGCACTCTTGATTCTCATCTCCCAATGATTGTTGTGAACATGTGTGGATCAATCTGGATCATGAATCTGCAAAAGAAGTTCAAGGGCTGGCAACCAAAAGACTTTTGGCAAGGCTATCGAGTGGAATCAAATAGACATGTTTGGGTCTAGGATCACTCTTCATTGGTGCAGCATAGTGCATCCTAGCTTCAGGATCACAACATGGTCATGCAAAAAATGCGGGACCCAAGTCCAGAGACCTCTGACAGAATCTCACGCCCTCCCATCCGCTGGGAACCCTTGCTGCACTGTCGGGAAGCACCACCGGGCGGAAGGACAGGGAGTGGGGACCTCAAGATACTTGGAATCAAAACCAACACAGGATAAGACATTATACTATAATATACTATACTACAATACTATGTAACTGTAAATGTATAATATAGTACAGTATGTGACGTGTGCATACGTGTGCAATGGGCTCACCGTATTTGGAATGATCCACAAGGCAAAAATCAAATCCATCTCTCGGACTTTACCGAATTGAGTTGCCGACACACGGGAGTCAGGATGATGCCCGGCACCGCTGGATGCATCATGGAGCCTCCCGCTGCCAGCGAGTACGCCGTGCTTCCAGTTGGAGTGGCAATGATGAGCCCGTCCCCTTGTACCATGGTGACATGCTTGTCGTTCACCTGAGTCAGCACAAGAGACAACCTCGACACAAAAGTTGCCACTGTTTCAAAAGTGCCAGTTCTCAGAGGGGTTCATTACGCAACATGAGCGAAAGGCACACCAGGAATTGGAAAAGACATGAAAAGACAAGATGTTCAGTAAGCAAGTCTTGAAGCCCAAGCTGTTTGCACTGACCACTTAAAAATCATCAGGAGAGGGCAAAGGACGAATGCCACTGAGTTCGGCCCCATCTCTGAGGTGTGAACATAGACTTCTAGCTTCACCAGGTGTGGACTGGACCCTCTGTGCACCAGTACCTTCGAGGTGCCATCTGTGGCCGACTACAGTCACAGTGCCAGTATTCTATCTCCATGAAAAACACCACTGATGAAGACCCATAACAAGTATAAGTACTAACCAACCAGTCTAATGGAATAGGATAGCCAGGATAGGGGTATTTTTCACGGCTCATCTGGTTCCACAATCCAAGCAATGGGTCATGAGGCAAACACAGCCAGATCATGGATGGATTGGATGGCATGATGGATAGAAAGCTTGCGTTGAAGGTTTTTCAAGTGTGCAAGCGCCAACTGTGGCCTCATTCATTGCCTGGACTGGTATGGGCTGTAGATTTTCACGAGACTCCTGTCACATTTCAGCGACTGCTAGATCAAGTTTCTGTGAAAGGAATTTCATGTGCAGTATGGCAGTGAAAGAAAAGATCCAATTGACCCTTGAAACAAAGAGGCCTCGTCATATCGCGTGAGGCGCATCTGAAATCGCATCCTGCATGCCACTTGAAGGGGTGGAACAACCTGCCAGTGAAAGCATCTTTCACTTGGAAGTCACTGCCATTGCAGGGAGAAGCAAAAGTCCAAACAAACAAAACAAGTCAAAAGGGTTCTTCAAGGTGCCCAAGATAGTACAGTAAGCAATGAAACCCATCAAGGCTGTTTTTGAACAAATATTGTATGTGCGATCATCCATGGCATTTGCGAAACCATGCCAATGCAGCTAATCCAACAGTGCAACGGGAATGCATATGCTCTTTATCCCAAGAACCAGCATTCTACAGTAATCAGTCAGTCCGTGGGGTTCAAGTTCAAGATGCCTCAGAGGATGCAGTGAAAGCTACCAGAAGTGTCCTTCTTAATTTATCTTGATTTCACATGTCCATGATGCGCGCGCCTCGCACTTCGAACCGAGAACGGGCATCAGCACTTTCAGCCAGTCCGAAATGGGGAAGGGTGTCAAAAAGCCTAAAGACCCACCCGCGAATGCCTCAGCCATCTCAGATGTAGCAAAATACATTGGACAACTTTCAAGAGTGCCTCTTTGAACTGGGCAAGTTGTGGCCAAACCACAAGAAACTGACCAGTTAAAAATGAAACAGCTTTCTGCGGTTCCAGTGGCAATCACAGGAGGCATTGCACCAGAAAAGAGACCGGATGCCCAACACAGGGTTCCTTAGTGCTGATTGCTGAATTGTTTCTGTGATTTGTGGACTGAGAATCATCAAGAAAAAGTAAACTGGCCAACATCCACAGGCTACGCAGCCCATTGCATCGCAACTGCCAAGCTTCCGTCACCGCCTATGCAAACCACCAAATCAATGCACTCCTCCAGCTTGTCCTGCGCAGGCACCTCCAAAGCCCACTCCCTCCCAGCGTCATCTCAACCCATCCCAATTAATATCCCAATGTTTTACGCCACACATCGTATATCAAATGTTCTATATTGTTCTATCATATATCATCTAGAATCTAAAAATCATACATACCTCCTTCATGTAATTCATATATGTCTGAAAATTACATATGTGTACGCATACATTTGCCTATGTTTATGTCATATGCATTCATGTTTATTCATATCTATCTATATGTCTTATTCATGAATTTATCGTAAATATCATAATTATAATTATAATCCATGTGTTAGCTAGTCCAAGGATATGGGAACAACCCCAGTTTATTGCAATGTTCAGCCACAGTTCTCATGAACTATGGAGTTCTGTGATGTTATACAAAGTTTTGGGGATTGGGATGAAAAAACACATGGAAAAAAATACTTATCGCTCCCCCTTCCCTCCATGAAAAAGAAACTACAGTAATTGCAAAAATAAGGCCTTCATTTCCATGTATTTCCCTTTCGAGCTTCCTGAAAAACTTTGATCGTCCATTGTTTTTTTTTAATTATCGAAAAAAAACTCGGGATACTGTATCCTGGGGAAAAAATGCAAAATTGAAAAAAAAAATAATGATTCATGGATTCAAAACCATGCAAGAAATTGGTGTGTCTGAAAAAGCCATTTTTTGAAAATGATGGTTTTATCCCATATTTTCAGACAACGCCAAGTGTACAGTCGTTGGATTACATACCCATAGTGGGGAATGGTCATAATGATTATACTTACAATCCGATAAACAAAAGATTATGATAATCCCCAATGGTTCTGATAGATTATGATAACTATATATATATATATAACTGTCTATCTAGTAGCATTATTCACTGTCCACAATGATTCTGATAATCCCAATAACTATAGTCAACATCATCAATAGTCAATTATTCACTATAGTAGTCCCATGACTATATATTCTCTATAGTAGTATCAAAGTTAATGGGCAATATAAATATATAAATATATATATATATATATAATATATAGTTATAGTTATAGTATGCTATACCATATCTAGCCATAGTTAAAGGGATAATCCTCACATCAGATCTGGGAAATGCCCCGGTCCTTGCCCGGCGTCCACGTCCTCGCCCGCTCAGCGAAGCCGGGCACCAGGCCCTGGGAGTCGCCCCAGCGCCATTTGTTGCTGGGCATCTCCTGGAGCGAACCGTGACATCCTGGGGAATTCGTGGGAAAAATCCGCGGAAATCACAGGAAAAACGTTGAAGATGTGGGAAAAACATAGAGAAATCCTAGGAAATCATAGAGAAAACATGGAAGATACACGCAAATCAGGAAACCGAGAACAAAAAAAGTTGAGAAGATCATTTTGCCCATAATTTGATTTGCAATTTGGGACGGGACAACCTCATATGGGAAAAAATATGATCTGTAATGATTCTGGAGTAATCTTTGACCAGCCAAGAAGTTGGTCTACTAACCATTTCTCATGTCTGTAAACAACGGACGTCGAAACGCGAGCAATCCGGAAGGAAGTAAAATAAGAAAAATTTGCTCGCAAGAAAAGTCAACAGTTTTTTCGCATTTTTTGGCCATCGGGCCAAAGTCCTTGGAATTTCTCTTGGGAGGAGAGAACTCCGGCTCAATCTTTCCCTGCACTTCCGTCCAAAGTTCAGGCTCCAGAATAACAAAACATCCTGCAGCAGCAATGTTCAGGAAAAGACAAATCTCAGCACACTTCGCTCCCTAACGTGGACCCACACGCATCTTCATATCAAATCAAGTTCGAAGCATGTCCTGCCTTGAGAATCTATCCAGGAAGCAATGTCACGCAGTCGGCGTGTAACTTCCATGTCACCTGTGGCCAGTTGCGGAAGATCACGGCTGCTGTACCAACGAGTACAATCACCACCGCCATGCTACGTGGAACGAGATCAATAATTTCGATCAACAGCTAGCATTCAAAAATTATTGGTGCCATGACCATCCTGTGGTCCCTTTATGATCTGCCTTGCTTTGCAACCAGCAGCACGGATTTGGGCTTTTCCTGAAGGGACAAGATACACTCACAGGCGCTCAGCGGAATCACATTCAGATCCGTTGTGACCACCGAGCCACAGCAAGACTCACGATCACATCAAGAACAGCATCAAAGAAGAGGAAAAAAAAAACAATCACAATAAACCTAATAAACCACAATGAACCACAAGAATTTCACAACAGACCAAACTAAAACCATGCCCAAAACAGCTGGATCCACAGCAGTGGTCCCCTCGGGTTTTGTTGGGTCCCCTCCTTCCATCTCATCCAGGTGTATTGCTGAGTGGTGGTTCTGAGCTCCAGCCCTGCTTGCATCCTGGCCATGGTATGCCATGGTCACATGGGATGGTGACCATCACATTCGTCATGGCCATCCAATGAAATTGGGAATATCTCAACAAAAATGCAGAAAAATGCCATGATTGTAGGTAATCATGATCATTTAAGCCATTTAAGCCCCTGTTAATGGTGGTATGACCATCCAATCTTGGTTAATCTAAGCGTCTAATCATTCCAAGCATGGCACATATGCTTTGGTGTCATACCAAAGCAGCAACCTGGCCCACCTTTCAAACTCCTTGGCTCCCGGCCTGTTTCTCTCCTCCTCTGACGTGCAGCTGTGGTGATCGGATTCACCTTCTTCAACCAAGACCAGTGATACATTGCCTCGCCGCGTCGCATCACAGCTCTGTCAGTGGAGCCCCCAGGGCCCCAGCTCCTGACCATTCCTGCCCCGACATTTTCCCCACCTTCAGGGGATGCAAAGGGATCAACGCTGCTTCCATGCGGAGAGCTCTTTGAACAGTTCCGTTTTTGTTCCAACAGCCGATCAACTTTGTGAGCATCGTCCACCTGCCCAGGGGCCCAGAGTTAGAGTTGCGACTGGCAATGCCTCACAGTTCATCTTGGGCTTCCCAAACATGGACTAAACTTTAGTGTCTAGAAAAGGAATGCCAGGAGAAACTGAAAGCAACTTCCATGTTTTCGCACGATCTCACTCTCCCTGGATCTCAAGCTCAGTCACTTCACAGCAATTTTGCTAGGAAACTTTCTGAAACATCCGTGGATTGAGCCTTGCCGCTCCAAATGTCCCATTGAGCCACTTGGATGTCGGAGAGCTGTGGACCTGACAGAGGTTTGAGGTTTTATGATCTGCCAAAATCATGGATTCTTATCGATTGGCATAGGGAAGATCTGCAGGAAACCCTGGTTCTGCCATTCATGAGGCTTTCCTGTAGATGTTCCCTTCATCCAATTCTAAGACGCTTTCTGTTGTATGTACACATACATGATTTACATTGATTTACATTGATTTACTGTATATATACATATATATGTATGTATGTATATATATATATGTGGTTGTGGGATGTTGTGGGTATATTGGGCCCGTAGGTTTCAAATGTACATCCATGATGGTCCATATCATATCTCGATTCTTGTTAGCCACATCCGAATTGCTAAAGGTGGATGTGCCACTTGTTATCGGTGTATCACTCGTTGATGTCATCGCATTTATGCAGTGACATCATCATCTTACTATCCCTACCACAAAGCAACTGGGACCACTTCTCCGGACTGCCCTCAATGGCGCCTCTTTCAGCTGTCTCAGTAGACACCCGCTTCACCATTGGACTCAGGGCGCTTGCATCCTGAAAAAACAGGGGCAATTGGCTTCCAGAAATGGGATGTAAGGCATGCCAAATCCACTGGTTGATGGAAGAAATTTCCCCATGGAGTTGCCATTTTGGGGACATCCCATTTTCAGATTTGTTCAGACCCACTTACTTGGGATTTCCGGAAACAAATCGCTGGCAACTTACCATTCTTCGTGACACTTCTTCGCAACATGGTGAGAAATCGATAGAAACCACACATGTTGAAGTACAGGAATCGCTTCCGCAAATGCTTGTGACCTGCAAACCAACAACACTTCTTTTGATGCATTCAATGCCCTTCTTTTGATATCTATTTGAGCAAACTTTAGTCAGGAAAGAACTTACGAAAGCTCCGTGACTAAAAATACGAAAGACATCGAAAGACTGGTATTACTACTTGGAGAGCTCTGGTACTACTTGGAGAGCTATCATTGACAAATGCGAGAAATGATACTTATATACATATCTATATCCAGCAAAGCCCGTGAAACAACATCGGTTGACCGTCCGTTTTTGTTTTAGGCATTTCACATATTAGTGTGTAGCTACAACTGTACTTCAACATACTTCAACCCAAAATGGGTTTGTCATCCACATCTTTTTCTGCTACTCCAATTGCAATTCAAAAAGAAACTCTGTGCTCAGATTGCACAGCAAGTCCATTCACAAATCCATGAAAGTAAAAAAAATACAAAAGTATCAATCCAACATTGCTCCGACGTGCAGTTACGAGGCCTCAAAGCCCAGGTCAAACACAGGTGCAGAAGGCTAAGTGCATTAGGGAAACTCATGGCATTTCCAAACCAAAAGACCTTCCCGCACCCAAAACTCCACCCTGTCTCCAACCAGAATTTTCACCACGGGTCTTCCAGCAGTTGTGCTGCAGGCCCAGTGGACAGAACTTTCTCTGCCACAGCTAAAGCAATATCATCAATGCTCCTGGCAGCTTGGTGGCAAGTTGGTGACTGCACAGAAGTCCAAAAAATGGAAAGTCACGTAAAGTCCCAAGATGTCCCAGGGAGGCATCGCCACCCTAGAACCAGCCTAGTACTAAATGAAGCTGATGCAAGCATTTCTTGAATCATCTCCTGCGGCGCGGCTGTGAGACACTATCAAACATTGTGAAAGCTCAGGCAGTGAAGCTGGGTTCCTTTCAAATTTTGACTCCCTGGAAAATGACTCCAGTGCTTGTTTAGAAATGTTTCGAACGCTGTCCCTTGGGGTCCTTGTTTGACTGGACTAACACTTCTCGCCAACACTGTTTGGGCGACAGTGAGTCTGTGGGGTGGTGGTTGCGGACGATCTCTGGCGGCAGAGACACCATGGCCGTGCTTTATAGGTGGAATTTACCCCAAGCAGGAAAAAAACACACAAGAAACACAGGGCCATGCAAAAAACAATATCTGGTCTGGTCTATTCAAGCAGCATCAGGAGGTGGCACAATATGATGCTATGTGCTACATCAAAAGATGCTGAAAAGGAGAAAAGAAATGGACCTAAACCCAATTTGCAACCAAAACTACCAACAACAACGACCTGAGCCAAATGCGACATGGGGCAAACTCCATCTCAGCAGGCTGCACCTGAAGCTTAAGACTGCTCGATTATTGGTAAGATTGGATCCTTTTCCTCTGGTTACTTGCGCATAACCTAATGTATATAAATGCACAAGCATCCTCTGTGTCGTTGCCAAGTGGTCCAGCTAGCATCAAACCATCCAACAAGTGCCAAAGGAATCCAGGCCTTGGCAAGCTATCAGAACTCAATAGCCTCAACAGCTCTTGCTCTGCACACTTTTCTGCCGGCCAGGGGGGTCAAGTAGCAATGAAAAATATGGAGTCGTAGAGAGAAGGTCTTTTCATGGTTGAGACATAGTCAAGCACACTGGCTGATCATGCTGATTGCATCACCACCTCTCTACTCCACCCTGAGCGCAAAAATAACTCCTGTGCTTCCACGGATTTTGGTGGAAGTTTGGAGATGCACTGAGTGCACTGCTTGGCAAGGACCGCCCTGAAGGAGTGCCTTGGCACCCTTTGTTTTTTCTGTTTCAATCGCAATACACCAGCAAATTGTTGCTTGTATTTCTTGATGATTTCTCCCGATTACCTTGTCATACCTACATAGCTTTTGGGAGGACCTTGAATGCAGTCTATCGAAGTACATGTCAAGAATCCAAGAGTCCAAAATGTTGTTCGTGAAGAGACCAAGTCAAACGTTGGTCGTTGTGGAAGCATCATATGTACGTTTGGAGGCACAGGATTGGGCTCACATATATATATATATAATTAGATATATATATATATAATTAGATAATTAATGATAATTATATATATATAGTTGGCAAACAGCACTGTTGCAGGAAATCCGCACTTTCGGTGCTTGCTGTCAAAGCAGTCCTTGCACAGGCCTGATTTGTCTGCAGCTATGCGCTTTGCAGGTCTTTCTTAAATCAGACGTCTGTCATCGGTTATTCACAGGAGTATTTGCCACTGCATTTCCTGAAACTGACAAGCCTCCACTTTTGAGGACCCACGGATCAGGAATTGCCAAAGGCAATCTTATTCACACGTCTTCAAGACTCAGCACCAAAAAAAATCGGCATGCAGCAATGGTCTGCTTCGAAAGTAGATTTTTGAGCATTTTTGACAACTGTGCTGCATCTGCTTTCACAATGCGAGGGATTGCTGCATGATGCCTGGTGCATGCTATGGTGAAATCTTGGAAAACGCACCTGGGTGACCTGATCACCTCAGATCAAGGCATTTGCACCTCAGTTCCAACTCATTCAATTGTGAATGTTGTCAGACAAAAGTGAAAATAACCTTCAAACTACATCAAACATCTTCAAACATCTTCAAACCAGTGAAGCATTGAATGTTTTTGGATGTTTTTCAAACGCCCTGACATCTAGGCCACAGCACCATAAGCCCGATAAGGATCAGCACAACTGCCGGGTTGGAAGAGCATGATGCCATCCTGAGATGTCGCGGGGTTGTTTCGATGAATCGCAGTCGTGAAAAGTGCACATCTGTATGTACATCTTCACACTCAGCTCAGTTCGCACTGCAGCCAATATTGAGTTGCGGCCGTGCGCCAAAGCACGCAAGCCTTGTTCAAGCAACATCCAAAAACATTCATATGTGGTTGCGTGGCCTGAAAAAAAAAATATATGCAAGCCAATGCAAGCTGTAAGCAGTCACAAATCAACCCAGGTTAGCACTGCATGGGCAGGAAATCCTCCTGCAGCTGCACGGCGGTCCTTGGATATCATGATTTATGGACGCGTCCTGCCCCCCCCCGTCATATCAAAACTTGAATTTCAGGTTCTGACATTGTACATCTGCACCGCCTCTGTCAACTGCCTCCATCTTTGCAAGAGGCTTAGGACATAAGCATCATAAGACCACATAAGCATAACTGCTGAAATCTAGGATGAGAATGATTCACATCCAACATGCTCCATCACAGATCATCACAGTACACAACAAAAATTATACAAAAATCGTAGCCCATCTCAGCCGAGCCTGTGCAGCTGTTCCACTTCCACCTCAAACTGCAAACCCTTCAGCTACCTTCACATGTAAAATTACTATCTTCACTCACTTTTGCTGATCAAATCCTATCCAAGATCACTTATCTCTGCAGGGCCGGCACCTTCTTCCATGACCAGAAAATGGTGGTCGAAACAAAGCCGACCCGACCTGCGTTCCATTGGTCCACGCACCATGGAGTAGTCCAAAGGAGTCGGGCTTTGACGCATCCAAAATGGCAGCCTGAGGCATTTGGCAACGCTCGACGCTCAGCAGCTCCAAAAGTAAAATAAGATCATATAAGGCCATGCCGACCCACCACTTTGTGCCAGATGCCCACATCACTCTTCCAGTTGCTCAAACAAACTTTTTGGATATCATGTCATGTCCAAATGTACTGTTTTGAGTTTCTCATCGCAATACGCATGCTTGGCTTCCTGACCACACGGCACAGTAAGCGGATCACGCTTTCGGAGTCGCCAGCGACGCCAGCACAAACCATCCGCCTCAGTTGCGGTTGCCAGCTCATGTGCAAGAGTTCACAGGGTGCCAAAGTTGAAACTTCATTTCGTAGCTGTTTTGACGCATTCATGTTTTGCTCAAATGTGAATACATGTAAAATGATGTAAAATGTATAGTAAATAGGTAGATGTGTTGAAGTACCTGTAGATGGCAGTGTCGCTACACCCTTCTTAGTGCCTCCCAGGTCCTGTGGTCCAACTGCAAACACGATAACGGAAGCTGTGCATTAATGGTTATGCAACCATGTCTGTACCTGTGAGGGCAATAGGCAATAGTGAGTAAATATGTTTATGCTTATGTAAACTACATATAAATGTGTACATGTACAACCTGCTATATACATATGTGCATTTGTGTGTTTGTGCAGATTTACCTCGAACTTATGTGTGCCTCGCTCGATGTCTCTATGCATCCATACGTTTTCGCACATATTCACGTACTAGGTATATGAGATGCACCAGGTCGTGATTTCCTTGACCAGCAAGAATATTCAAATCATGCCAAATGAAGGTAATTTGATGGAACAAACATGAAGGTCTCTCTATATAAATATATATACACACACATAGTGTGTGTATGTATAATTATGTGTATATATATGTGTGTGTGTATGTATGTGTAATATACATATTATATATATATATCTGTGTGTGTGTGTCTGCAAGTGTGTATATATATATATATATATGTCTGTCACTCTATCTCTCTCTCTCTCTCTAAGATTGTTTTGGTAGAAACATGGCCCTAACATGGCTATTCCCTACCAACCCCTTGGCCTACCCCAACCCGGGGTTCCACACTGTTGAGGCATCAGGTGCCACGGTGGCGACGCGGTCTCTTGCACCAAATTGCACGCAAAGCTGGCGTCAGCGATGTGGTCTCGGCGGTGATGCAAAAGTTGCCTCTATGTTGTTACCCAAAGTTTCAACCATCAACATCCATCAACCGCTGGAATCCAACAAATATGGAATCATATGGAATAATGGATATTGACATTGATGATTTTAACACATTTTAACATCCATCAACCATAGATTGCCATAGTATACATGATATTACATGATTACATGTTTGTTGTTGGTGATGTTTTTGAAAATTTTGGTTTGTTCAGAGCGGCTTGACCAGGCTCTGGGGGACCGCACTTTGTCCATCCCAAACTGTCCAGGGTCCTCTGGAGAGAATGGGATGGCCGAGGTCCTGGCACGGCCACATGGGTCACATGGGTCACATGGCTCACATGGGTCACATGGGTGCTGAAATGTGAGGTCCCAACAGTCCCAACAGTTCAATTTAAGGGTAGCACATGTAGCACGAAAAAATATATATAAAATGGAGATCAAAAATGTTTAACGTCTTGGTTTGGGGGGTCGATATAAAATTTCCTAGATTTGATTGCATGTTCTTCCAGTGTTAATGCTGATTGGCGCAGTGTACAGCAAACACCGCCAAAAACCAGGCCGGGCAAGACTCCGCGAGCATAGGCCCAGGCTCCGCCATCCGCATCATCCAGAACAGCCCATTCGAGTCTGTCCGGACACCTACAACTCGATAGCTTACAGACACGGCTTAGGCTCAGAAATCTGCGGACATGTGCATCCACATGCGTATCAAAAAATCTGTATGTACACAGTACCGGTATGTACCGGTACTGTGTGCACGTGTGTCGGTACACACCTGTATTGACAATGGAAGAGTGATGACCAGCGATGACAAGTGTAAAGACTTCATACGTGATTATGTGTGCACATAGTGTCCGTCCATAGCCCGTTTGATAATGTTTGATAGTACTTTTGTTTCCTCTTTCTTGGCCCTCTTGGCCGCATGATTTTGTTTACCCCGGTACACACCTGAATACACGTGATGTTGGCTTACAGCGGGTGTCAAGCGGCACACCACATTCTTCAGCTTGGACAAACAGCAAATCTACAAAATGGGCCCTGCACCATCGCAGCACGCATCGTCCCAGGCGATAGGCAGGACGATTCTCACAAAGGAAGGGCCTGCAAGGAAGATGTAAAGAGAGAAGAAACTGAATGAAACCTGAAGAGTGGCGTCAAAACTCTTCAAAACATCAAACACTGACCATGGGCAGTTTCCAACCAGTTGCAAGCCACAAGTAGCTGAGGCATCAGCTCGAGACGGTACACCCCTCAGCACTGAATTACATAGAATTCCATGCATCATTCTGTATGACATTTCAGAAAGCCCTGGTGCCGGTGCCGTGCCCAAGGCATCCCAAGGCATCCCAAGGCATCCCAAGGCATCCCAAGGCATCCCAAGGCATCCCAAGGCATCCCAAGGCTGCCACCGCAAATGGCGGTCCTTCGGACCGTGGCCAAATCCTGCGAAAACAGGAGCAACGGGCGACCCCGGGGCAACGCACCGACCCGGACATGGCAGACATGGGACCTGCGGCAGGGACTCGGGAGGAAGCATTGCACGGCAGTTGATGCAGGACTTGCAACAAAGCGTTACTTCCAACCTGCACGAGGCTGGGCTGGGAGGTAAAATCATTGCAGCAAGTCATGGAAACACCTGATAAGGACAGCACTACACGATAAAGAGAAAAAATGCAAACAGGATATGATAAAAGGGAATGTTTGTATGGAAATAGTTAGATAGTTTAAGTATCACGATTGAAGTAAGTGGGATAAGTGACTGACCGAATCAAGAACGAGAGAGGAAAAAATATATATTAATCGACATACATCGACCATATCGACCATATCGACATGGAATGACATGGATATGAATCTTGCAGATGATACCACCCAGCCATCCAAATCTTGGTGAGGGACGGCCAGGAGGTGGCCACTTTCGATGGGTCGTCACAAAAGCAAAGGCCCTGTCGCAGCAGCACCACATCGAAAAGTTGACCAGCCTGGCTGCGAGAAGTCGGTACCCAAAAATGCCATGGTTTGGGAAAGAATGTTCCTCGGCAAAATTCTGGGAACCCCCTTCTGGTAACAAACCCATGTTATACAAATACAAATATCAGCAAATATCCTAGATCTGGAGACTTGGTATCATGCAGCGTCCCCCTGGATTCAAACGTCAACCCTGGAGCCCTTGGCCCAGTTCCTGCCTCACACTGACCGTTGTAGAGCTGTGCAGCGAAGTCCTGAGGCACCGCAGAACCCCTCAACAAGGGTCCTAGACATTTGCTGGCAGAGAGCAAGACCAACACGTCTATCCCGTCCTTCGTATTGTCCAAAGCAATGAAGCGGTGCTCCAGGTAAATTGGAAGCTGCCATGGAAATGCTTGCGGCCTTAGTGGGATCCTTTTCATTTTGGTGTACTAGTCCCAGTGGGTGGCACACATGCTTGCAGCATCATGAGTCATAAGGCAGCGATCTTCATCAAAACGTTCTTAGATCAGCCTGTCACTCAACTTCTCAAATCTGTGAAAAGGCCCTGGCTGCCAGAACGGCATGATTGCATTCCGCACATCACCACCATACACCCGTATCTGCACGGCCAGCGACTACTTGAGCGGTTTGAAAGCCGTTTCCAAGTCTTCGGCATCACAACCACTGCCACTGGCTTGGCTGCCATCCTATCTTGCCCCTGCCTTGGTTCTGTAGTCAGACCATCCTCCTGTCGAAGCAGCAAATGCATGCGCCAACATGACCTTGGAACAGGGTAGTCTATGCTCTGCGCATGACATGTGCCCAGGGGCATCCGGAAGCTTGGCATCGCTGGCGTCAGGCACAAGGTTCCGTAAGGCCTCTACACTTGTTGGCACGTAGCGAGCCTCGAGATGCATACATCCCAGTGGGGTTCCTTTGATGGAAGCCATGCCGTGAAACCGGGAAACCCCTGGCCAAAAAAGAAACACATCAGGAGTCACTAGGAATACCAAATGGATCCAAATGGGCATGTTTAGAAGTTCCCTGCAAACAGACCACAAGGATGGTTTCACTCGGATGGACTCCGTGCATCTCAGAAATAATCGGGCCTGTGCTTCTTGAATGCTGTCATCCGCACAACCATCTGCAGCTGATAGAATCTTCAGTGGGCCCTGGCGATTTACGTCACGGCCTTAACAGCAACCAGTGTGTCCGCACAGTTCTGTCTGGGCAAAATTAGCCATGATCCAGCACCACTGTTTCGCCCTGAATTATCGCAGAAGTCTAGCTTGAACAACACGACTCTTTGACATCCTGCTCTCCGACCTTGTGCTAGGGCCCTCGCTCTTGACCACATCAAAGATGTAACGTGCTGTCGAGGTGATAATCTCGGAACATGTGCCCAGGATTTCATTACTGTCCTGGCCAGACGAATGGATCACCCCATGGGCTGTGACCGCAGTCGCCGACAACATCCCACAACACCACCTTGCAGCTTCTCCAACCAGGAAGCTCACGCTCTCCACGGCCACAAACAGAACCTGGATCATGCAAGTTGGACGGCCTGGCTGGACTTTGGCCAGGTCACTATAGGATATTATAGGTGTAAATAGAAAAATCATGCCCATGGGCCCCATGGGAAACCACAATTTTGATCAATTTTGACCATACTCGTACGAAGCCTTCTTGCAAGATTGTCTCCAAAATATCCTAATTTTCCTGAAGCCCAGTCTGGGACCATGGGGTGAAGTCATCGCAATCTGTGCCATGGCTTAGATTCTGGCCCAGCGCATAGGGCGTCGGACACACAGCACGCGGCATCCTGATTGGTGTTGAAAAACAACCAAGGGTTGGAATACTGTTGCTGACAGGTGGCTGCAGTATATATTCAAATTCAAAGTTCAGTTGCAGCATGGCCCAGAAGACACGGGCAAAAGCGGCTTAGACACAAGTGAGAAAGCACCCATTTTAGCTGGTTGTTTTCCATCACCAAAAATCTTCATGGCTAAGTTGCTGGGTAAGATCCGGCATCCCAGGAGACACCGGAGCCACTGCAGGAGCTGCAGGCGGATATTCAGGGTGAGCCTTTTGCGGATCCTTTGGCAGAGCGAAAGGGAATGGCGCATGGGGCCTTTGACCTTTTCAATGCACAAGCGCAGCAGTTTTCTCATCTCTGTTGCAGGGTCCTGATAGCTGACAGGTCCAACTTGATGCGCCCAATCGTACTCCTGAGCTGATTCCTCTAATCATTATAATAGAAGTGTTTAACTCCAGCTATCCTGAGGGAAACTTCGGAGAACACCAGCTTACTAGGTTATATACATACTATGAAGCAGTAGTCCTGTTGCCCCACGCCACCTGGTAGGAGCTGCTGCCCATGAGTCCTTGCCAGTCACACCATGGATGCTCAACTCTGAGGTAACAACCTCCAAAACTGCCTACTCGTAGCTTGTAGGTTTTTACCTACCCATTGTGGGGGTGACAGCCAACTGAATTCCTGAAAGTCCTTTGCTCCACTGCCGGCACTTGTGGTGTGATATATCTGGTCGAGGTTTCGACCTCACAAGTGGATACAAGCGACGAATCCAGAAAGAGCAATCAACACCGTTCAACGAGGCCCGTGCCGTTTGCCTTGCAGCACCTTGCACCAACCTTAGCCCAAGACAAACCTTCTTTTTGTGACTCAGCTGTAGCTTGACGCTAGCTCGTCAGCTAGCTTGCTCCAGCTAATGAAGCTGAGCCGCAACTGTGGGTTGTTCCCAGGCAAAACCTCCCGCACGCCGCGTTCCTGATTTAGGTTTGAAATGATTTGATTTTGTCAAATCAATTTAGCCAGTTTAATGAAAGTGGCCCCACCTGGCGGGCAGTCCCTAGGCTTCGGCCCTGATTTTGGCATTGGGACCCTGCTCCACAAGCCTAGGCTTGGTGTGGCACAAAAGGGTGTAAGCACAAAACAACTCGAGACTCCTTAAGTTAAATGCAGGTGCCCACTTTCATGGAAGTCTACTATGCCCAAAATCATGGAGAATGCCTGGCTAGGGACCTGCACTAAATGAAGGAGCCACCTAGCTGTCCACCTACGATCAACCGTCCTTCCCCCAAGTGACACTCCGAGAGCGCGCTTTCGTGGCACATCGGCTGCCGCAACTGCCTTCGCAACGCAGCTCCTGTGGGTCAATACACGGTGCCAGTTACTGGTTCCTTGAACGGAGCAGGTCAGAAGATTGGGAACTGGTGGTGAAGACCTCGGAAGGAGGAGGTCTTTGCGTCTTCACGTCTTCACCCCTGCGACTGATTTTTGAGCTCCTGCTGGTTGGGTCTCGCAGTTTTGTCTTGCCTTTGCTGGTGAGGATACCTCAGCGCTTCTGCGAAGAAGCATGACTACTTTCTGCCGTGGCAGGCACACTGATATGATCAACAATCAACACAAGGTCATCAGAAAGCCCCTCAAACAAAAATAACAAACTGTTGGTTGAAAGATGAATCAATATTAGCCGAGCAGATCTTCAGGTGGGATGGATCAGTTCCAACTGTCCTGCGTAAGCCTCGGATTCTGCCGGGAAGCGGCTGCTGGTTGATCTGTTTCCGCAGCTCTTGGTACTCCAACTCCAGCGCCTGGACCTTCATGATATAATATATATGTACCTGCATGTAGATTTGTACTGTGTATATATATATATGTATATATGTATATATATATATGTGCCATCTATATTTAAAAAATGTCCATGTGTATATATATATATATATATCTCTCTCTCTGTATTAACCATTATTAACCTCGTGCATTGACAACCCATCCATAATATGGTGATAGGTTTTGCCGCATATCCAGAGTGGTTTGGTGCATAAGAGCATGGCATACGGCATTCCCATTCGTTTTTGGTACTAAACCTGTTGTGGGGCATTTGGCCAGCCATAGATATTTGAGCGCCATGGCCAAAAGGGTTGGATTGCTCGGAGCCTTCAAGCGCATCGCTGCCGTTTGCTGGAAGGATCTCTGATCAGTGCATGTCTTCCCTCCTGGAGCTCGTTGCTGGCACTTGCTCCATTTATGCATAGCTGTCGGCAAAGTGCAGAATCGTGTTTTCGAGGTTTGGTACTCTGGTGCTTGTCCTTTATCTTCACTCCCCTTGCATCACCTGCCCCTGCCATGCCTTCACGATATGATGCGCAGAATCTGCCATTTCCAGAGCCTCACTCCATGAAGACATCAAAAATGAAAATGCTATCAAAACCAAAGCTTTTGGGCACCACCCTTGTGCAAAAAAATGAACTTCTGAGCAGCCAGGCTGTTGGCTCTGCACTTGCAAGTGGATGGCCATTGCGGTCTTACTTCACCTGACAATATCATGTCTTTTCTGAAGCATGGTGTCAAGCCTATTGCCTGAATAGCCATATAGCCACTGGCTGAATTGCCTTAATAGCCTATTGCCTGAATTGCCTTTCAAACTCCCAAACACTAGCTGGGCTTCTGCCAAAGACCCGAGGCTGCCGCGACCCCAGGCATCAACGTCTTTGGTTCCAAGCCTTTGCACTCAACCAAGGCTTGAACCAACACGCCCAGTGGCAGGAGTACTTTGATAAGCTTTAAAAGCATTGACTCACCCTCTTGAATGCGGTATGTCACACTTTGACCCCTGTATACCTTGAATCTGAAAGCATTTTGATGATCCATCGCCTTGGGTCGAAAGGGTTCTCCACTTCAAGAGCCTCCCAGCGGTTCAGCTGCGGCTGCCTCAGCACCAGACATCTCGAGCCGTGCCCTGCCGTGCCCTGCCGTGCCCTGCCGTGCCCCGCCGCGTGCTACCGTTGAGGCGCCGACGGTGGCACCTCCTGGAAGCACCTGGTGGGTTGTGCCCAGGCCTCGGGCCACTCCGCCCGATAGGTGCCGTAGGTGCTGTTGTGCCGGAGTCCATTCGTGCACACCTCAAGAGATGATGGGAATCTTAGGCCTTGGGCCCGGTCCTTGGGATAGGGAAGCAACCCAGGACTAGTCAGCTGGTTGCAGCTGGTGGCAGCTGGTGGCAGTGAATGTGTATTCCGACAGTCTGCGCCTGGTGAGGCAACTCTTCATGTAGCCGCCAGCCATTGCAAGGTTGCTGCAACATTGTCGACAAAAGTCTTTAGGATTAGGCCTGCTAGAACTCAGCTAGGTACCGGAACCTCAACCAGTCTCTCTCCCTCTCTCTCTGTCGGTTGAGGTAGGTTCCTTGGGCACATGTTTGTGGTCAAATCCTTCATTTGCATGCTATGATGCACTATGGACGATGTCTATGTCTAGTTTGTCTGATGCTGACGACATTGACCAACAGGTCAAATTGTACATGCTGCACATCAAGGCTGACAATGAAATACAATGAATGGGTTGCAGTGTGGTCCAAATCAGGAAATTGGCTCGAATGCCCGTAAAATGTTCCCAACAAGGACTACAGCACGGGACCATGATGATGCAGCCCATCACGGAGGTTTTCGGATACATATATATATAGAGAGAGAGAGACAGAGAGTGTGTGTGTGTGTTTGCATATTCCTGTCCGTTTCTGGTTTAGTAATACCTCTTGCTTGCATTCGGGTGCCTTTTCGGACTTGCATTGAGCGTGCACAACCAAGACGCGTTCGCCCTTCACGCCTACTCAAGTGAGACGTTAGCCACACAAGTTTTTTGCTAGAACCATCACGTTCGTTCCAAAAACCACACAACAAATGAGTAGGCAATGTGCTAGGAGGGCTAAAATTCCAACATTCTAAACACATTTTATCAAATCTTGCCACAAAGATCCACAAAGTACGAACAAAGACTAGAGCAACTGCTTCCAACAACCACAACGAACGGAGAGATGGCAAAGAAAATTTGCATGGAAGCAGCCAGAGCACTCACTCAATCATCAGAACCACAAAGGAAACAGTCTTTCCACAAAGCCATTTCCAGACATCCGTTTTGGCAGGCCTCAATCTCCATCTGAGATCTCAATCCTCTTTGCTTCCTCTTTGCTCAAATCACCATTGAAAGCTGTCCTGAAGGATTTGGAAATGGATCGCCACAGGAACGCCAAGGTTTGCGTCGCTCCGCTCCAACTCGCGCAGCCGCACCAGCCGCCCCGGCATCGTTCCTCTGTTTCGGTCGGCATCTGAGTTCCTGGCAGCGAGATTCCACCATGCGGGACGTCACGGATGCAACGGCTGCAGCTGCAGCCACGGCCTTGAGCACGGCTTCCGCATTGGTGGCACTGGCCGATTCTGGTGATGGCTTGGGATGAGACTGCGACCGTTTCTGAAAGCTGCGCCAAAATTGAGGCCCACCTGACACAGCTCCATTCTCCTTGGCAAATTCTGCTGCTTCCACCGTTTCTTCCATCTCATCTCCTTCTTCCTCATGTTCATGGTCTTCATGTTCATGTTCATGATCATCGTGCTCATGCTCTTCATGATCTTCATGGTGCTCTTCATGGTGCTCATCATGGCCATGATCCCCATGATCTGCCGGATCCGCATGACTATGTTCAAGATGGTCAGTGTGGTCAGCATGGCTCTGCATTTGGCCATGATCCACCTCCACACTTTCACCATGTGGCAGCAAATGGCCAGCTGCTGCTGTGACCATGGCTGTCTTGACAATCTTGACAGCTGCAGCACCCTTCCAGGCACCAATCAAGGGCGCAAAGAACGCCGTCGTCACCATTTTTGCCACGTCAGAGCCTCCGCGCTGACGCGCGCGACCCACAGGCTGCAGGGGCCTGGAAGCCCAGCAGCTGCCGATTTGAGCAGCACAGCCGCGAATCCGGGGAATTTGAACATAATTGAATAGATTGAAATGACATTGATTCACAGACCAAAAAATCACAGGTGGGTAATGGAATTGTTCAACTCTAACCGCCCTAAACAGACCAGCTGAATTTGTCCTCATCAGCATGGCAAAAACTGCCAGACAGTGGCCAGAACCATTTTGGACATGGTCATGGACAGCCCAGCAAGAACCACTGCAAGGTCTAAGTGCATTGGCGAGTTTGCAGGGCGCTGATGGAACCGGCTATGTACATTGCCATCAGAACCCACCAGCAATGAATTCTCGGGTCTAACACACCACGGCCCCCTCAGCTCTCAGATGGGACCGGCCTCAAGACACACACAGCCAGACAGCATGGGGCCATTGGTGCCCCATGTCAGGTCTTCCCCTGCCAATACAACTGTACTTGAAAGCACCCAAATTTGAGGTCAAGTCATGGTTCTTTTTTGTGCTTCAGCCCTGTCTCGAAAACGATGCCGTCTGGGTTTGTCCAAAAATGATGTGATTTGGTATTCTATAGTATTCTGGTATGCTGGTATACCCCAAAATCTAGTGGCAACTTTGTGCCCCATTCCAGATTGCCCTACCTTCGTCAAAGGCTTCAACTGTCGGATGAAGTCTCTGAAGCCCACCGTGGCAGAGCCTCGCATGGCACCAGTGATGGCAGCGAAAAATCACCAAATCCCTTTTGCAACTGAGATATTGGCCGCGGCCTAATCATCATATGGGTGCAATAGTGTGTCTGCTGATTTATGGCTGGCACATTGCAATTTTGTATCATCCGCTTCGTCATCCTCAATGAACAACCAGTTGGCCGCTGCTGATGTGAACTATTCTGACTTCAACACCTTTTCAAGCTCCAAAGAGGCATCATGAAGTAGCACCCCGTCCAAGCAAATCTTCTGCATCAGAGGGGAAATCCTTTGGCCCCAGTTTTTTGGGGCCTGTGTACAAAGAAACCATCACAGGGTTGCACAGCACCTCACCGACATGAAGATTTTATTTCAAGATGTTTAGGTCTTTTTGGAGATGGCGGCACACATGCAACCCTGACGAAATCACTGGGCTTTCCACAGCTCACTGGGTTATTCCAACCAGCTTTCCCAAGGTCCTTTCATTTGCTCTGGACAACATCCGCGAGTAGCTCTCCAGCACCGTGTCCTTAGAATCTGGCATCAACATTCCCAAATAAGAAAGCCATCATAAGCACGTACATGTGTATAATCATGTATATATATATGTGTGTGTGCGCGCGCGTGTGTGCGTGTGGTGTGTGTAGACACAATCTTCTAGTATGGAGAATGTGTCGTGGAAATTGTCAGTTGATTCGGAACAGCGTTGGTATGCGAGACCAGGTTGGGTTTCTTTGCTTTAACTTGCTGGCATGTACCATACTAGCATCCGTTTGAACAACAGGTTTGAATTTGCTTGCAAGCCCGTGATTTGCCACTGAGCTGCATATCTCTCCGGCTTGCGGCCTATGCGAAGAAACTGTCCGCTTTGTCGCAATTAAGTCAATGAAGTCTGAACAAGAATCTGCCAGGAACCACCTGCCATTCGTAGACTCAAGATACGAATCCGGGTCAGCGATGTGTCCATCCTAAAGTCCGTCCTTAGCCCACCTCTTGCAGAGATGGGTCGCAGCGGCCGGCCATTGCTGCGCCTGTGCGACTGTTGTTGGATACTGGGAGGGGAGGGACACCGTTTTTGAGTCCACAAATTCCGACACACCAGTCTGAGCTGTTGACTCGTGCACAGCCAACAGGGTACCTAGGCTGCAACGCTGCCGGCTCTGTGTGCGCGCGCGCGTGCAGAACGAGAAGAATGTCCATGAATCAGCCGTTTCAAAAAAAACGCATCCACCTGTAAAAAATTGAGCCAGTGCCCAATGACAACATTGCATGATTGCACAGATTAAGGGTGCTGACAAAACAAATGAGCTACCAGACTACCCAGGACCCATTCATTTTCCGGGTTATTTTCTAGCAAACACACTGCTGGCAAGCTGCTCACTAGAGGGGACTGCGGCCTTGTTGAGCCACTGTTCTCCTCTGGGATCGGCTCTGGCTTCACTGGATGTTGATACAGATGGCCGTCAGTTCCTCAGAAACTCCAGCCACTGCCGTGGTTAATTGGGGCCCTAGCCCTAAACGGGCAACTCCTCGCAGCCCTGATGCTACATGGGTATGATGCACAAGACTTAATGTGCATCCTAAAATGTGTCAAAAACTTTGGGTCAGGGGCCCTTAGATTTTGACCCATCACCACATGACCAAGTTTCCAATGGACCCCCTAACAGGGGACTGGGAGCGATCCTTGAAGCAGGAGATGCAATGTTTGGTGGTACCCGAGGCCAAGCCTTCCTCGGGGTTCAGCATCAAAACCTTTTGCCCCAAGCTGTGACGCAAATTCTCCATGGCGCTCTCTGCCAAGTCCTGAAGCCTTGGAAAAGAGCTGGCACGGCGGCCCACTATGAGATCAGGCAAAACTTAGTAGCATACCGTATGTCATACCTTCATTTTATTCTTCAATTCTTATCATGATGTACGACAATGTACGACAATTCTGTGCGCATCATTTCTGGAGATGCCTTGGGGTATGTTCTTGCCCCAACCCTTAAACACTTGAAGTACAAGCTGCTGAGCTCGGCATCTGCCAACGGCTTTTTCCAGATCTTGGCGATTTTGCTCCAGGTCCTGCTTGGTCTCAGCAGACAATCTCTGCATGCGGCCAGCGAGCCTAGAGCAGAGCCATTTACATCGTTGACCGGCTCTTCAGAGGCAACTGTGGGCAACTGCCGGTGCTAACACAAACTAACACAAATGTCCGCAGTGTCACTTTATATTGAGCACCTGTCTTCCAAGCGCTTTGCCACATCATCGAGCTCGCGCCGGAAGGCTCCCATGTCAAGTAGATCCAGGTGGTTTTGTGCTGCCTGTTGCCGCACTTTCCTTGTAGCAAGACCACAAGGGTGAGAACTCTTGGATTCTTGTGATGGTGGCCCCCCAAGCAAAATTGTCCAATTTGTAGATAGAGGCACAAAGACGCAATATCGTCCGTGTGCGGAGCAGTGACCTCCGTGTGAACGCCATGAGGTCAACTTGTCTGCAAACTGCTTTAGGTGGAACCCTTTTCTCCATCACTAGAGTCACCTAAGATATCCTTTTGAAAAGTGAATTCTGAGTTGGATGCGATATTCTTAATCAATATGATATGACTCCAAATTATATGTTCAATACGACCCATTCGCCACTGGCCTCCTCCAACTCGGCCATTTTGGAGAGCAGCTTGTCCCAGCGGTTTTGAGTATCGTCCCACAGGATCTCAGATGTGGCACAGCAAGGAGGGGTCACGAAAAAGATCAAGAACGTATCACCAAGACACCAAGAATTGGAATCCCACGAAAAGAAACAAGTCAACCTTTGGAAGGAAGGTGGCAGTTTTCAATGCCACTTTCAGGATTCAAGCCCAAAAATAATACGACTTCTTTTAAACATGATAAGTACACGTGCTGAAATCATACTTTACAAAAGTGACGTAAATATGCGTAGAAGTTGCGTAAAAATCCCTAAAGTTGCGTTTGGAAAAAAAAAAACGTAGGGAGAGGATGCATGAAATATGAAACTTTTGACTTTCAAAAAGTGGCAGTGGAAATGGTACACAGTGGCGCAGTTGCGACACCTGGCTTTCTATATTATATATATATACATATATGATACGAAGATGCAACTTTGATATATGAACAGCGGGCAAATAAGGAGACAGGATTTCAGAGTTTTCAGAAGCAAAGAATCGCATCTGGCAGCACCCTCCGCCAGAGCTTTCAAATCCAAGAATGTCCTTGAACTTCTGTCCAATCACTCCAATCACCTCCAAACAATTCACCCCACCAAAATGGCCCTCAGGAAGCTGAGCCTCCCTGCAGCCAGCTTGGCATCAAAAGATCGGACTTGTTCACCTCGCTTTGCAGATTCCTAAGGCTGTCAGGGTCAGGACACTCCATGCATCTCCGTGCGATGCCAAGGTTGGCTCCACATGTGCTGCGAAGGCTCATCTCGCAGCAGTTCCACCAAATCACCGGTTTCCTTTTGCTTTGAGTCCTAGGAATCGCTGCGAAAGGCCCAGGTGGTACCACACTGCCACACCAAGGGATGAAAAGCATTGGGATCCCATGGGGCTGGGGATGTCAAAGCTGGGCATTCCTGTTGTAATTTTGTGGGATGGTGAGCGAAGGACTTTTGGACACTAGCCGGCATCAGTAAACTAGGTACTAGGTGCTAGGAAGGTGTGTCAGCTGCAGTTCAAAGTCTACAAAAACCATGACACGAAGTGATTGACCGCTTTCTCCAGCTCATCGATGCGAATTTCCCAATCCAGAAAGCCTCACACGTGGTGAGCGTGAACAAACAGCCGAGAAATAGAGAAATCCACTTCTTTTGTTGCAACCCAGCAGCGTCTCGATCTGGCACTCGGCAATCCTGAAAAATGTCAAGTCATCTGTTGATACTTTTAACCTTCTGTGGTAAACCAAAAGACTGTCTGCAGCACGACAAATTCCTGTGATTTGCTGTCAAATGAGGGTTCCCTGACAAGCAGTATCCCTACTGCTAATCAATGGATACATTTAATACACATCTATATCTATATAGATCTATATAAATCTATACACATTTCTACTTGTTCTATCTTATTCTGTGTAAGTCACCTGTTCCTCATCTCCAACCCAACCTCAGTCACTCCTGGTGTTCGTGGCGACTTGGCAGAAGTTGGGCGAGATACCAGCGTTGTTGACTTGGCTGTGGCAGGCCCATCGTTGATTTCCTCCTCGAAGGCATCCTTCAAGGTCAAACTATCTGATATGCAAAGTGCATTGCAGGTGGCCATGGTTTCCTCCATTTCTTGAGGGTGTTATAGAGTGTGTTTAATAGGGTTAGAGTGATGCGAATGGTCATGGACCAATGGTTTCGCTCTGCAAATGCTGACCTCCAAGTCCTTCAATCGAGCGCTGAAATTGGCCTGGCACAGAGAAGCTGACCCCGGATGACCCGGGATGACTCTGGCGTCAAGCAACTCTATTGAACGGTCCAAAACGAGTGAAAAATGCCTCTTTCGTACCCACCCTGCAGCTGTTAATTAGTCATTTCATGCTGCGATGAAAAAAAACATAATCAAATTACATCAACTAAAAATGATGCATGAATCATGTTTGAATATCCGTCTTAGGTATGCGTAACTTTTTTTTCCTCAGTTCAGCCTCCTTGATCTCGTTTTGTTTCTTTATTGTCAGCTCGGCACACGATGCCTCGCGTTCTTGCAGGTCACTGACTTCAAACTCCCGTTGTGCCAGCTTGGTTTCTGCCCGCCGAAGCCGGGCCACAGTCCCCACCAGTAAACCTGAAGCATGGGAAGCCACGGGGAGCAAACAGGGTCCAAGTTTTTTGATCTCTATATTATATATCTCTCTTGCATAGATTGTATCATATAATACTTGAGTCGTCTATATAAAGGGGTTTTCACTACGATAACAAGTCGCGCCAACCCGAGGCAGCGGCTGCGGCCTGTTTTCATCTTGAGCCAAAATAGCCATCAAACAACCTTATCAGTAGAGGTCTTTACAATGAAAAACATGGGTGTGATTTATCCCATATTTTTCAAGTCCCCCCTGACAGCGAACTGTACAAGGTTGTCAGAAAAGTGCGTTCTACTCGTTGGCCAAACGGTCGAATGCAAGTCTCACGGCTCGTCAAGATGGATTCCAGCCAAGAGATGGCTGAAATCGTTATAGTGATTTCGACATGCCTGGCTATTCCAAGCACTGCTGTGCGAATGCACTAATTGAATTTAAACTACACGAATGCTTGATAGGAGGCGCAAAGCAGCCCAACTCGGCAGCAAACGAATTGAATGAAAGACAGTGACAGTCCAAAGGAAATTCAGGAAGTGACTGGGCAGAGTCCAAGAAAATCTACGAGAACAAAAGTAGGTGGGACTTAGTCACATCCACTATAGGCTGCAGCATAACACAACGTCAGGTTTTTGATACCATCGGTCGAAAAACGGGTACCCTGAATGCATACGGAATGCAAGGCTCACTTAGGAGATGAAAGCTTCATGTCTTGAGCGACACCATTTGAAGAAGCTTGAGTGCAGAATCCCACGCAGACACACCAAGGGACTTTGTGAGAACATCGGCTCGCTGCTTAAGCGTTTCAATGTATTCTGCATTAATGTCGGGCTCGTTGAAAGCCTCACAGGTAGAAGCAACGTTGATCTTATGGAGCTTGCTCAAATGCCGCAACTTGGGCAATGATGGCGAGAGCAGCCTGACTGTCCTTGTAACAGTTCAACACAATCTCAGGAATGATGAGCTGCTGGCAAATTTCGAGCAACAGAACTGCCTCAGTGAAAAGTGATGTCGAAAACGATACAAACTCCACCTCTGTTGTTGACCGGGATACAGCACACTGCCTTTTACTACACCACAAAATTAAAGCAAAGGATTGCGGACCATCAAGCGCAAGCAGGTATCCTGAAGTTGATTTCATGTCGGGCGCACTGCCGAAGTCAGCACCTGCGTACAAAGACAATCTCAAGTCAGAAGGCTTGTCATGAATGCGCATGATGTGGCAATGGTCCAAAGTTGCAGCTACATAGCCAGCAAGTCTGGTCATACGCTTGTCATCATTTGCGGTCCATTTGGTGGTATGACCTGCACAAACATTGATCGCAACTAGCAAGTCTGGTCTGCTGATACGACCAAGCCACATGAACCTCATCACAAGCTTGGCGGCAACATTGGATAACTGCCCTCTGTCAACCTGATCAGTAGCCAAAAGACTGCCTTCATCCACATGGGGAGTGCGAGCATGCTTGACAGGTTTGTTGGAAAAGGGTAACACACTGCCTTGCAAAATCGGCGGGGTGAAGAGCTAAACCTCCATCATGCTTGACGTGACCTCTACCCAACACTGTCGAATGTGGTGCTGGATCTTCAAGTTGCACAACTTGTCGCAAGACATCCCAAAATTTGGCATCATTGGCACGAGGACCTGACAGAGTCAAATCATCTCCATAAACTGACAATGCCAATCGCAGACTTGGAAAATAAAAGCATGATTGGTAGCTGCTCAAATTCAACCCCCCCTAATTCTTCGTGCAAAGACTTTGGAGAGATGGTTCTGCCAAGACACGCTGGCCAATGGATGGCCGTACAATGTTTTAATGAGCGGAGCGCGAGGCTGATGGATATGCTTAGCATGGTTCCAGATTGGGATGAACTCAAAATAGATTGAACATGGGCCTTGATGCAATCGCTGGTAGTGGTCTCGTTGCCATCAAGAAGTCCATAAGCCACTAGCAGGTTGAGCCCACCAAGACTGGTAGGAGCTGAGGCTGCAATGTCATCGACCACTGCCGCTTGATTTTCCTCATCCCTGACAGCGTCTCCCCGAAACACAATTCGAGCTTTGACAACCCATTCATTTGACGGCTTTTCAAAAAAAAAACTTTGATGCTCACAATAACCATAAGAGAACCAATGTGAATCTTTTTGCCAGATGATTTAGCCATAGCTAGGATCTCAGACTTCGGACGAATGTCGGTCTCATCCCACGTCCCATTGGCAAGAAGACCTTGCTTCTCATTCTGACTGGCTTTGAAGCCTCCGGGTGGCCCTTCCACTCGTTACGGTCCAGAAATGTGCACAAACACAAAGGCAGGAGTTCTGATTTCATGACATACAGTTTCAGCCATCATCACGTCTAAAGGCACTGAAGGATGGCCCTTCACAAGCTCCTAGCGATGTGGTTGCCGTGAGCGAGCAACACACGGCATGCTGAAAACGCGGCTATTGGTAATATGGGGAGACAAGGAACTGATTCTGATCATCAAATTGCAGAGAGGTTTTGCGTAAAATGCTGACGTCCTAGTCCATTTACCTTGAAGTGGTGCATGACTACTGTGATTCGTGGCCAAACGCATTGAAGATGTGATAACCCACCAAGGCTTCTTCGCTGGCTGACCGTCAGCTTCAACTCCGACCACGCACCCGTTGAAGGTCGCTGAATGCAAATTCCTCTCCAGAATCCGCGACTGAATCGAAGGTAAAGCCCAACCAGCGCAGTAACGTGGCCACTCAAAGCTGCAGTCGTCGCCACCATTGTCAAGACAAACATCTGCAACCCGAATGAATTGTGCAACTAACGCTTCGCTCTCTGCTCTTTCCTGAGGAATTCGTGCTGTCAACTTTGGGTACTTTGCTTGGCTCACATGTCGCCATTGCGACCATGGTTTGCATTCGACGGAACAATGGATTGAACGCCCTGGTAAAGCACCAACCTGAGCAATCAGCTGTTCAATGCTATGAAGATTCTCCAAATCAATGTCCTCCTTGCACAAGCGAATGACTTTCACGCCATGCTCTGATCATATCCAACCTTTCCGAGATTGGAATCTTGGGCACAAGCGAACTCAAATAAGACATCTTTGCTAACACGATTTTGCTTACCTTTACCATGCTTCGGATTCTTCTGCTCTGGAGTCGCTGTGGCGCCAAGGCAACCGAACTGACCCCTTTGATTAAAAAGATTCGTGAACAATTCTTGAACATGATCCTGAGGCAACACTGTAGCCGCATCGCAAGCAATACTTGCAGTAACTGCCACACCTGATGTGACGCTTACAGCCAGGGAGCCACATGAAACCAAGTCCATTCTGTTCCACATCAAGTCCAATCGCCGAACCATGGGGCATGAGTCGAAGATAAAGTGACTGGCTTTCCCAAACAAGCCATTCCGATCTTGAAAACCAATGGAAAAGGAAGAGTCCTTCTGCCAACCACCTGTGGCAAAACGAAGGCTTTCATGAGACTGGTTGGAGAAACATACCCTTGATCACTCAAAGCTTCAAAGGACTTCAAAGGACGTCAAATAAATGCCTTCCAACCTGAACCCGTGGCCCGCTCAATCAGCCCAGCTTGGGATGGCTGGGATGGCTGAAGCATGGTCGCAGCAAGGATGGCCAGAGTCGCCAAAGTCTTGGCTGCTGCTGCTGGTGCAGTCTTAGGCTTCGGCTTTGGATCCGCGCTGCCCTCACTCTTGGGCTTTGCAGGCGGAGCTTTCGAATGACTATAGGAACACCTTGCACCATGAACACAACCTGACGGCATTTGATGGAAGATGCATGGTGTTTTTGCCTTTTCTTCCGCACCCAATGGCTTTCCATGTCCTTTTGATTTTCCTTTCGGAGGTGACTTAACGCCTGTCTTCTTTGGCACAAGTTTTGATGGAGCCGCAGCTGCATTTGCATTTGTTGCAGCAGCTGGAGCAGCTTTGGCCGGGACAGCCGGGGTCTTCGCTTTTGGGATGTTCGCTGACTTCTTTGGGCTTGTCAAGGATTGTTCAATGGACTTTGCATTGGCATCCTCCTTATCTTCAACCAGGAATTCCTGCAACCTAGACCACAAAAAATCGAAGCCACGAAGCGGAGAGTCATCTGATGACCTTTTGATTTCATCAATCACCCTCTCAAGGCGTCTGACTGTCCTCAACTTATGAAACAAGAACTCTCCAAGCATCCGCTGATTTGGCCATTGATCATGGGGAATGCTATTAAAAACTTTCAGAGAATTCCTGCAAGTCTGAAGTTGGGCAGCCATGCAATTCCACCTGAAAGATGGACTGAGAAGTGATCAAACATCCTCGAACACGATCCAAGTCAATGTGACGAGAGATCATCTGAAGCACTGCACGGCCGCAAGGAGCGGTCCCTTCACGAGTGCAACGCTCAACATAGCCTTGCACCTTGAATTGCAAATCTGGAACGCCTTTCAACCCGCTGATAAGTTCAGAAGCCAGCCAGCGATCCAAACGTGGATCATGCTCGGATGAACCAGCACAAAACTCAGCTGTGCTGACTTTGAAGGCATGAGAAATCCAGGACGTCAAATAATCTGACCCACTAATATCCAAACGACCCAACAGCAAAATCAAACTGCTTTTCCGACTTCTAAAGTCTGCAGCTGTGGAGGGAATGGGATCGATTTTGGCATTTTGCAAAGCCCTGGAATCAACGATTTCTCTTTCGGTGGTTGGGGAAGCATCTTGAATCAATTCTTCTTCATCATCATTTCCGCCCTCACCATCATCGCCGGGATCACCCCAAAAGGCTCATTGGGAAAACTCTTGGTTGGAATTGGCATGAGGGGAGAGACGGGGCACCCGCTCCATTTCGGCCATGTAGATGAACTGGCATTGGCTGACGGCCTTGCTCAACAGCGTCAATACGATTTGACCTACCATCTAATCTGACTGACAAAGACTGAATTGCTTCAAGACTGGCATTGTTGGTATTTTGAGTTTCAACGACGACCGGCTGAACTCATTGACGGACAGGCACCGAGACTTCTTCAGCTCTGTCTCCAACGTGAGAGGCACTTGAAGCAGCCAAACTCGCCTGCAGTTGCTCACGCATCTCCCGCGAGGAAACCAGGGATTGATTCGCAACATCCAACTCGGTCATCAACCTTTTGATTTCACCATCCTTATGGCCAAGGATTGTTTCATACTTCGAGCACTTGGATACTTGGGATTGCAATTGACTCTGAACAAACGCCACCTCATTTTGAAGAGCACCCAAGTCATTGCTCAAACCAAGGATTGTTTGGTCCTTCGACTGACATGCTTGGTAAAGGTTGAATCTGTTCACATGCTTTGTCATGGTCATGGATTTCTTGGGCAACACCTTCAAGATGCAACGCACGAGATCGGGATTCGTCCAAAAGACGTTGAGCTTCAGCAAGGACTAACTCCAAGATGAACCGTCTGAGTTCTCTCATCATGCATATGCAACACTTGGGTGGTGGATGATTGGGCTACACCCTAAGGACCTGGAGAACCCGCTGGAGAAAGACCCATTTCCACATCTTTGGAACGCCTTTGAACTGCATTCATTGGGACCAACGTTCTCCCCTGGGAGTCCTTGATGGCCAAAGGCTTACCCTGACGATCTTTAAGGGTCTTGCGACTCACCCTATGCCCAGCTGAAGAAGCAGATGAACTTCTACTACCAGCCCCAGCTGCCAACGCAAGAACTTCAATTGAGTCTGATGACAAATTCAGAAGTGACGAATCTGGATCAGTTGGATCTGATGACATCCATTCCCAAATCCAATGCCAAACTGTTCTTTTCACACAAGTCCCAGCGGCGCAGTGCAGCCTGATATCTGGATTGATCCAACCACAACACAATCAAACTCAAATCTCTTAGGGACAAGCTCGGAAAAAGAAGTGATTGCCTGACGAATGTTCGAGACAAATGGTCTCTTTGGAAACTTATCGGCTGCTTTCAAATGAAGATGGCACAATCCAAATGGAAGTTCGGTACCTGACGTGGTAATACCGTGATACACCTTGAGATCCGCAGGCAAAGTGCCGATATTAGGATCCAAGGGTTCCGAATCAAAACAAGTTGACGTGCCAAACGAGAAAAGTGAGAAAAGACAATGAAAGTCCGAGGTATCGGCTGGTCAAATGCTTCAAGCAAATTGGATGATGCTAGACGAATTGCAAAGTGACAAATCGGGAGAGGAAATCTTCAAATCAAATCACTTCAAACTGAGAAGGAGTTTCAGGCCAAATCCAAGAAGTGGAGGCGCAATTGCAGCCTAACCACAATTGGAGAAACTGGGGGAACTACTCTACCTGCCACGGATGAAAGTCTCAAAATCTGAAATGTGCTTCACTGCGTTCCAGGCTGACTTGCAACGATCCGGATGAGAATTACAATGATCAGGACTTGCACCCCTCAATCCAAGTTTCTTCGCGTGAAAAATTCTTCCACCCTTGCTGCAAAATTCTGATGCCACCTCGAGATTGTCGTCGACTAAGCAAGCTTTGTCTTTCAGGTCCAGTTTGCAAAGGAGATTCTGAGCTACCTCCGCCCTCCGGCCCGCTCCAGTACGCTTCTCAGTCACAAACACGTAGTGCACCGGAAGCCGAGATGTCCGAACCCCTCTCAAGAGCTTCTGAAGATTGTCTTTGCTGTATTCGATGTGGCTTAGAATGATAAAACAATCGCCCTGTTGCAGTCTCCTTTGAACTTTCCTGTAACATGAAGAAATGTCCTGAGGCACCTGACCGTTACCCGCAATGTGAACACTGTTGTTGCGGCTGTATCGACACACGTCAGACACCTGATGCCAATCCACAGCGATCACCCTTTTACAAGCAGGGACTTCCTCAAGCCAAACTTCAATCGGATTAGAATCAGAATCCACCTTCCACACCCGCACCGCCGGCAAATCTTGAGTTACCCAAAATTGCTGTTAAACTTCCTTTGGTGGATGCGATGAAGATGATGGCAATGCTTCACTCTGAGAAACCTGATGTGGATGACGTAGCTGCTGCAATACGTCCAGAAACCGTTGAACCTTCCGAAGAATGCGCCACACGCCTTGAAACTGTTGATCCTTCCAAAGACTGCGTCACACGCTCTGACGATGAAGATATGGTCTCCGATGCAGCATCACGCCGCCCAAACTCAGGAACCCCAGCTCGAGCTTTCGGAATGCCCTTAGGCCGAGGTCCCAACCAAACCGGCTGAATAGGTTGGACGACCAAGGGAACAGATTCCACTTCCGCCGGCTCTTCCTCAAATGATGATACCTGGTCAGTGATCTGCTCTTCGCCAATGACGTCTACCGCAATGTCTGCTTCTGAGGCAGAAGTTCCCAAAACTTCGAAGAAAACAAAGGGCGCTGCTGCCCACCAGCGTGAGCAACTGGGATGTCGTCCCACTGTCGGCCCTGGTTCAAATTGTACTGAACCCAAGCACGCCTTTTTCTCCGAGCTGAACCTCCACAGCGAATGCCACGTCGAGTCCCAGGCTTAATGCGGGAACGCGAGCGATCACCCATGAACGCGTGCTTTTTAGGGGACCCCAAACCCTAATGAAAAGATTCCCCCAAAAGTCAACAATCAATCAAAGACCGATACGGCTGATAACCACTTGAATCATCCAAAACCAACCAAAACCAAGGGGGGTTCACTACTACAACAACAAGTCGCGCCAACCTGAGGCAGCGGCTGCGGACTGCTTACATCTTGAGCCAAACTAGTCATCAAACAACCTTATCAGGAGAGGTCTTTACAATGAAAAACATGGGTGTGATTTATCCCATATTTTTCAAATATAATATTACATATACATCATACATACACACATACATACATACATACATACACACACATACATACATACATACATACATACTTACATTACATTACATTACATTACATTACATTACATTACATTACATTACATTACATTACATTACATACATAACGTTACGTTACGTTACGTTACGTTATGTTACGTTACGTTACGTTACGTTATGTTACGTTACGTTACGTTACGTTGCGTTACGTTACGTTACGTACATACATAACAGACATACATTACATACTTTACATACATTACATACATTACATACATCACATACATTACACAACATGCATAACATACATTACATACATTACATACATTACATACATTACATGCATTACATACATTACATACATTACATACATTACATATATTACATACATTACATACATTACATACATTACATACATAACATACATAACATTCACAACATTCATAACATACATAACATACATAACATACATAACATACATAATATACATAACATACATAACATAACATAACATAACATAACATATATTACATAACATAACATAACATATATTACATATATTACATATATTACATATATATATAGATAGATAGATAGATAGATAGATAGATAGATAGATATAGATATAGATATAATATGTGGAAACCCCATTGTTTGAACTATGGGAACCGCATTGTTTGAGGCAAGGCTCCTCGCAGGCTGGAAGTTTCCACTGTGACCAGCACATCGGGCACCACCAAATCAACTTCCACTACTACGGCATCTGCGTCAGAAGCGTAGGATGCCATCGGTTCGCTTAACAGCACCAAGCGGTTTGATGTGCTTGTTTCCAGGCAGAAGTAGGTCAAACTACGCCCTGCCAGCTCTATGCTTCAATTTGCAAAAATACAAGGGGTAGGAACGTTTTAGGAGCTGAGGCTTGTTCACCGTTCATACCCCCTCAACTGATATCCGTGTCATGTGTGCGACCATGTGCCGAATCTGCACTCAGAGCCAATGATTTCCTGCCCATTTGGCGATCAAGGATGGCTTGCCCAATGCCCAATGCTGCTGCAAGTCTCAGGCTCAGGCCGTAGGGTGCATAGCGACTCCACATCAAATTTAGATTTCTTTCTGAGAGCCGCAACTGCAGGTGGGTAAGAGCTCGCCTGAGCGGGAGCAGAACACCCCCTGGCAACATCGCCACATCAATCACACAGATTCAGATCTATGAAAATTCAATTGCCATTTCTTGAATTATATAGAGCTCCAACCATTATTGGAACTCCAACTCCAGCTCCAATCCATGGAGTTCCTCCTATTTTCGGAAGCAAAACCCATCCCTGCTGTGCCTGAGATCCGGCAGGGTGAAGCTTTGTCGGCCCTGCGCCAGGAAGCTGAAAACGTCGCTGAGCACCGTAGCATCATGGCCTGATGCCAATCCCATGGAGGACTTTGAACCCAAAAAACATGGAGAACAAAACAACTCTGGAAAGAAAAGGAGAAGTAAGAGCCACAATGCTCCCTTGAGAACACTGGCTCTTTACCTTCTGATTTCTGATCCGTTCCAAATCGAAAATGGATCACATATCGACTATCAGCAACCATCAGTGAGGACGGGGCCGAGCAACTGCGATAAGCGAAGCCTGCAAGCACATTGCAAAAAGCCCACATTTGTTCTCTTCAAGCTCTGTATCGTAGAGATCCCCACGCACAGAAAGACAGTTCAATGCCTTCCATTTCGATCGTGGTGTCTTTTTTAGCGTTTGCCAGTTTTTGTTGGGGACACTTACGGTAAAGTGCGCTATAAAATTTGGCGCAAATATCGATTGCGCTGCTTTTTGTCCATCTCTTCTTCCCAGCCTGTCTTTCTCAAGTTCCTGCACATTCCCACACACACACACACCGTGACTCCTTTGCTTCAAAGAAATGAATTCTTCGTCATGAAGTTGGTTGGCGTCCTCCGCTGCCTGTGCTGCTGCAGATATGACGCGGCAAAGCTGCTGTCTTGCCTCAGGGTATCGCGACAAGAGGCCCGAAACCCAACAGCAGATCTGACGAGCAAAAATGGACACTGACAGCTGTGCCACACCGAGCCTGCACAGAAAGGCCTCTGATCTCGTGGCCTGGTGCTGTGGCACCGTAGTCAGATTTTGTTATCAGATATCGCTTTTCCTTGTTCCTTTGCAGGCTATGTTTACGAAGGCAAGAACTTCTCAGCCAGGAGTTCATCAACAGCTGCTTCTTGGAAGTTACAAACTGCATTGATGATTGGCCTACTGCTACCTCCTGGTTACCTCAAGTATTCTTCCAATGGGTTTAGACATCCTGAGTCCGGAACCAGTTCCTACACGAACGCAGCGAAAGGACGTACGGCACTTGGGGCACGAGACCTGCGGATGCAAACACATTTCCCATCTTTCACCTGCGCTGCTTTTGGTGCTATTTTCAATTTCTGACGGTCACCGCGTAATTTGGAAACTATAACAGCGGATTTGGAAACTATGACAGCGGATTCGGAAACTATGATTGGGAAACTATGATTTGGAAACTGTGAGGTCGGATTCGAAAACTGTGAACAGCGGATTTGGAAACTATGATTGGGAAACTATGATTTGGAAACTCTGAGATCAGATTCGGAAACTCAGCGCAGCGGATTTGGCCCCTATGATTCGGAAACTAAGGCACGTGATTTGGGAACTATGTGTCGAAACCATGAGTTGGAAACTATGAATGGGAAACTCTTGCAGGTAATTCGGCAACCTTAACCTGCAACCCCCACCCCACCCCTTCGTGTACACACCGTAGCAACAATACCAGAGATCTCTGCAGCGTAGCAACATATAACGTAGCAACAACACCAGAGATCTCTGCAGCGTAGCAACATATGACGTACAAAGTAGCAGGAACGTTAACATGCCCCCCTCACCCCACCCCTTCGTGTACACACCGTAGCAACAACACCAGAGATCCCTTCAGCGTAGCAACATATAACGTAGCAACACCACCAGAGATCTCTGCAGCGTAGCAACATATAACGTATCAACAACACCAGAGATCTCAGCAGCGTAGCAACATATAACGTACGAAGTAGCAGGAACGTTAACATGCCCCCCCCACCCCACCCCTTCGTGCACACACCGTAGCAACAACACCAGAGATCTCTGCAGCGTAGCAACATATAATGTAGCAACAACCCCAGGAACGCCAACGCCCCCCCCACCCCACCCCTTCGTGCACACACCGTAGCAACAACACCAGAGATCTCTGGAGGGTAGCAACATATAACATAGCATAGCAACAACACCGGAGATCTCTGCAGCGTACTGTAGCAACATATAACGTAGCAACAACACCAGAGATCTCTGCAGCGTGGCAACAAATAACGTACGAAGTAAAACATGCCCCCCCACCCCACCCCATCATGACCTCCGAATGTGCGTTTACAAAAACGCGCGCTTTACGAGCACGGTTTTCGGTCCGCTGGCATGAAACCGTATGTATATGCCAGACGGGGTGGCAATTTTGAAGTAGTATAATGTAAGTATGAACGTGTGGCCCATGATTTTGGAACCGTAGTTTCTGAATCGCACGAAACAGTTTCCTAATCGTGGTTTCTGAATCGCACGAAATTGAAATCCGCCCACACCGCTTTGGCGGTGAAGGCGTGCTTATTGGGGGGCAAAACAGCAACACTAAATGCTCAATGACATTTGTTAATATAGCAGTCGCTATATCAGCTTTAGCTGGGGGGGGGGGGCCAAAAACGGTTTCGCACCGAGACCAGAATACGGTGGTGTTTTCGACATTTTTCGAGGATTTTTGGGTGTCTGAGCGCAAGAGGGTATTGAAATGGAATTTTGGGTCATTTTGGTAGCTTTCCGGCAATGGAAAAACGGCCAAAAATGAAAAAAACATTGTACATAGCAAGATTTTGCAGGGTTTTTGGATGCCAGAGCATTGAAAACACTGCAAAAACAAGTGTTTTGGACTGACGTTATAGCAAAAAACGTGTAAATTACCGTATGCTTGACTGGAAACATTACAAAAACACTGTCAAAAGCAATGTTTTGGAAGGATTTACTGCCTTTATGGCAAAAAACGTGTAAATTACCGTCTGTTTGACTGGAAACATTGGAAAAACACTGTCAAAAACAATGTTTTGGAAGGATTTCTTATATATATATATATATATGTTGGAGTTGGCTACCGGCATTGGCACATGGAAAAATTGAAGAAAACACTGTAAATAGCGGTATTTTCAACGGTTGGGGAGATAAGGGAATTGGAAGCATTGTCGAACATGATGTTTTCGACCGGTTTTATGGCGACAAAAGTGTAAAGTACCGTGCTTTGAAGGAAACCATTGCAAAAACATGGAAACACATTCAAAGAACACGGGATTTGGGGGACTATCTAGGCGTCGTTGTCTAGCTATTTGAAATTCCGCAGCTTGGAGAGCCTCCAAGGGAGGGAAAAGTGAAAATTCCATAGCTTGGGAAGCTGTCACGGTGGGGAAAAGTGAAAATTCCCTAGCTTGGGAAGCCCCCACGGGGGGGAAAAGTGAAAATTCCCTAGCTTGGGGAGCCCCCCACGGGGGGGGAAAAGTGAAAATTCCCTAGCTTGGGGAGCCCCCACGGGGGGGAAAAATGAAAATTCCCTAGCTTGGGGAGCCCCCACGGGGGGGAAAAGTGAAAATTCCCCAGCTTGGGGAGCCTCCACCAGGGGGAAAAGTGAAAATTCCCTAGCTTGGGGAGCCCCCACGGGGGGAAAAGTGAAAATTCCCTAGCTTGGGGAGCCCCCACGGGGGGGGAAAATGAAAATTCTTAGCTTGGGGAGCCCCCACGGGGGAAAACCACCCTTAGCCCCTCTCACGGACCGAAATAAACCTGCGGTGTGGGCGGCCACCCCACGCGAAGCGGGGTGAATAGTTTCCTAATCGTAGTTTCTGCATCGCACGAAATAGTTTCCTAATCATACTTTCTGAATCGCACGAAATAGTTTCCTAATCGTACTTTCTGAATCGCACGAAATAGTTTCCTAATCGTAGTTTCTGAATCGCGCGTAATAGTTTCTGAATCGTGGCAATAGTTTCGGAATCGTAGTTCCTGAATCGTAATTTCCAAATCGTTCCAAATCGTGTATAGCTTCTGAATCGGGCAATGATCATTTCTGACGCCATAGACCAAAACACAAAGCATGTTGCGCATCTGCTTCCGAAAATGACGAAGCGGCTTCACGTTGTCGCCCCTCAACACCTCTGGGCATGCACTGGCTTCGAAATCTCGTTGAACACGGATGCCGCATTTGGGGCAAGGCTCCGAATGCCTTGGTCATATGCAAAGGGTAAAGGGTTGTATGCTCTGAAAAAGCCTAGAGCCTGAGAGGCAACCACTTCTCCAGCTAAATTCTGCCAGCATCAACTGCTGGCATCAACTGCTGGCAACCTCTGACCATTTATCCAGCAAGGTCCATCCAATTCAGGCCGGCATGTTGCCTGGCAGTGAAACGTCCTGAGCTCTTTGAGATCTGCCACCCACTGCTGGCTGGCATGGGCAGCATGCGGGGTGTTTCCGGTGTTTGCTATTGAGAACCTCCATGATCCGGGCTGCCCCAAGTGACATAGGTCCCATCGTCCTTCACAGCGGTCATAGCCAGCTTTGAAGTCGCCACATATTGGACGTGGGACCCCACTGCTTCCACCAACTCATCATCATACAGCAGATCATCTTGGTGACCCCAAACCGTGAGGCCACCATCAGATCGCAAGGCAGCAAAGGAGGATTGGCTGCTGAAGATTTCCTTCACATTTACCAAGTCGTTCTGCACACTGCTTGCATCACCACCATACAGCTCACTTCCCCATGCAACTACCTCGCCATCTGATCGCAGGCCAGCAAAGGCATGCCTCGGTACTGACAGAGGACTGAATCCAGGGATGGCATCCAATCTATCTATATATATATACACCTGCTTGGAGAAAAAGTATCAGCACTGACCCTGTGAGTCCAACAAATGGCTTCTGAAAAAATATCTGATGAATCATATGTAGATGCTTGGTGGCTTTCAGCTGCACGATATCATCCAGCCGATGCTGAACATCACTGCTGTCTCCTCCATGCAGCTGATCTCCCCAAGTCACCACACGGCTCTTGAGTGTCACCTTCACTGCAGCTTCACTTGCATTCTTGGACGCCTCAACTCCTGCCTGAACCGTGATAGCAGCAAAAGCACTCTTTGTTGCTTCAATGTGGTGCACCCCAACCAGCTGCGATTGCACGTTGCTGCTGTCTCCTGCGAAAAGACTTAGACTGAATCCTGGACAACTCAAACAGTAAAACAAAGCTTCTGCAACCTGAACGATATCCCATAGAATCCCACCCCCTCATATCCACAATTACATACAAATCCGCTTCATGAAGTCCTCCATGTTCTGGAGGGCCCCACGTCACCACTGTTCCGTCTTCCTTCAAAGCCGCAAAAGCGAATTTGCTGGCATACACTGCTTTCACCTTCGTCAGCTTCTCCTTGACGAGAGAGCTATCAGCACCAGCATAGTCGGCTCCCCAAGACACAACGGAACCATCACGAAGAATAGCAGCAAAGGCATGTACCGAGCCCACAATGTGTTTCACACCCACCAACTGACTTTGCACCGCGCTGCTATCACCACCTTCATCTGGCTGACCCCAGGTGACTACTCTGCCAGTATCAGTTACTGCAGCAAATGCATTTTGGCAAGAAAACACCTGCCGGATTTTCTGCAATTGATCCTGCACATTCTTGCAGTCACCACCAGCATCCGGATTGCCCCAGCATACCACTGACCCATCAGCCCTCACTGCGGCAAAAGCCCCAGAAGTTCCCGAGATTGAAATGACGTCCACCAACTGACTCTGCACCAAATGGCTGTCCCCACCAGCACCATCGTCTCCACAGGTCACCACTTCACCATCAGCCTTGATGGCAGCCACAGCAGTTTCAGTGAAAAAGAGCTCCAAAACATCCTGCTCCGTTCTCTTTCGCTGCTCTGGAGACAACTTGAAGTAGAGCTCATGACCCCAGATTGCCAAACTGGTGTTGATGATGGCCCCAAAGCCCCAGCCAAACTTGTGAGCCTTCACCGTCACATCATCGCCTCCCAATACGGCAGAGACCTCTGCACCATCTTTTAAGCCTGCCGACCGAAGACTGGAGGAAACCTGCAGCTTTGATCCAGCGCTGACAAGTCCTGGCTGACTGCTGTTCACAGATGAGACCCCAACACCCAACAATATCATGATCAAATCTCGATTGCATTTGGACTTTAGACCTTATGAGGCTATCAGTCCAACAGTCCTGCCACCTGCTTTTTGATCTTCCTTTGGGCTTCCAAGCGCAAATCTTCTACACTTGCATCCTGGTCGATGCTGATGGCCACAGAATCTCCGTTTAGGAGAGAAACGTGGACTGTCCAACGCATGGTGATACCCAATATTGAGCCAATACTGCGGCTACAGTGAAGGCCTTGCAAGCTACAGAGGTCCTCTCTGAACATGGCCATCCTGGGCCATTCTCAACACTCGCTCAGTCTTAGTGCAGCTGGAGGCACTGTAGCAAATAGAGCTGGGACTTTGCATCATCATCCGAGGTGCAGGGACGCAAAGCCTGAGCTGACAATACAAGACCCCCAGCCACTCAGAAATAACATCATGAGGTTGCTGAGGGGTGGGCAAAATACTCTTTGGAGTCAAAAGGGTATATCAATACTCCAAACTCACGCACGGAAAAACGCCCCGGTAGACTCGACTCATACCTGCCATCAGCTCAACACTCAAAGAAAAAGCAGCTCCGGAGTTGAAATGGAGTGTGCGAAGCGTTGAGCCATTTCGGAATTTTCAAGCACCAACATCTGTCTGTGTGTGTGTGGGGGACATTCATATGCGCACCCTACCAAATTCTGTTTCGTGCATAAGATAGACCGTCATCGTGTGCATCCTGTGTTCGAGTCGTGCCTTCTTCGGAGCTGCACCTCTTGCACCATAGTGCCTTAGCCGGGTGTCAAGCTGAGCTCTCAACCTGGCAGGTCTTTTGACCAAAGAACCGATGGCTCATCATCTGTGGTGAACCAATAAGAAGAGCTACAAAGAGGCACAGATCACAACATTCAAGAATATCAAGAATACACTGGAAACCACTGGAAACTGTTGGATGCAACTGGGCCCCTGGCAGAGGCTGCCAAAGCTGGTGTGGGCGTTGAAGTCTTGCACCAAGTGCCAGAAATCGTTATCCAAAAGGAAGCCCTGAAAGAAAGGCTGCCGCCGAGGGCCAGGTCGGGCACACCAAATATACAAGAGAGTTTCTGCGGCGCCTTGCTGGTAGGATCCAAGCTCTCAAATAGCGCCATCAAGGGGCAACCCTTTGGCCCCAGCGCCTTGCGAACAGCAATGGGTGGGCAAAAACAGAAAAACAAATTCCAATATGAATTGTGTTTTTTGATGGTCATTCTGTCATTCTCATCCGTGATTCTTTCAGGTAGCGGATAGCACAATGCCAGGGCTGCCAGGGGAAATATATAGATAGAAATGCCAGCAGCACAAAAAGCCCTGCACTCATTTCGCTTGACGCTCCTGACCCATCAAAGATCCAAAGGGTACAATTCCCAAGCAAGCCTTGGCATCCTCAGCTCCCGCATCAGTAGCTGCTTGCCGCACCATGGTCTGAATGACCGCTGTGAGAAGCCTGGAAGTTCAAGTTTTCAGAGTTGAGATGCAATGGTGAGCCCCCTACCAGTTCAAGCCTGGTTTGAAGTGTTGATGCCTATGGCCTATAGCGGCTAAAGTCCCATTGAAAGAGCTGCTAGGACCTGTCAGTGTTGGGCTGTACCCCTTCCACCTGTTGGTGGCAGTGCAGCTCTCTAGTGTCCACGTGGGATCATAACCTCAGCTCCATGGGCAGAAACTCAGTGCTGCCAGTGTCTCGGACACAAACACCTGAGGTTCGGACGCAACTGGTTCCGGAAGTGCTCCCAAGTCACCCCAGCACCAAAGTTGGGCGAATAGCGTTGCCAAAGCAGGTCCATTTCCTGTGCATGGCGGTGTGTCGGTGGCAGATCATCTGGGTGGACAATTCAATCCCTGCAAACATAGACACACTCACCGTGAGTCAGATCATCCTCTCTATGGAAATCGAGACTTGAAACCACAAGTGGGTGTGGCTCTTCAGTGCCTTCTCCAGGACCGGAATCTGTTGGTCGCGGAAGGCCTGGACAAACAGCTGCGTTTACCAGGACGCTTCTTGACGGCCCTGCGGTCCGGCCTGTCTCAAGTCCACTGTGTCGAAGGTTGGGCGACCGGAGGAGATGTAGTCTCGGCAGCAATAAAAAGCACGGCACAGCACAGAAAAATGACACACATCAACTTATCAGGCCTCATATCATTTTGAAGTTTGCGCATGAAATCAAACAGGCTTGTTGGTACCACGCATACAGCAGGACTTGAGCCCCATCAAGAGGGCCAAGTCGGCCAAGTGTTCAAACTGAAGCGGCCCAGATGCTAAATGCTTCGCGCAGACACGTCTGATCGAAGCCAGCTTCGTTGGCCAATCTCTTTCGGTCCAGTTGCAAGTTCTCTGCCTTTGGGGCAGGCTATGGCAGGTAAAGCTCACTCAGAAGTGCACTGGGTACGAAGACACATTCATCATGTGCTCATTCGTTCCAACTGAGCTGCAGGCTGCAGATGCGAGCGCTGCCACCAACCGGCAAAGCGTAAAGCGGTCTGCTGCTGTGGCACCAGGACCCTCCAATGAAGGCCTCGCGGGATTCTGCCACAATCAGGGCGAAAAAAAACTATGGCCAAAGAAAACTCCACGCCAGCCTGCCAACGACAAAGCACCTGCCAAGCGCTGCTGCAACCAACGGCCAAACAACATTGTTTTGCTGGGGTTCGGTGGCTGGAGAAATGGCCTGGAGGAATCATCGTTTAAAGCTAACAAGTGCACGTTCTTTATTGCTTCACTACGTCTACGTATATGGTCAGGAGCACTCTGCATGGTCAGGAGCACTCTGCAAGACTGAAACTGAAGGGGTCACAAACGGCCAAAAACTGCACAACACTCACTTCAGCACCCAAGCGCTATTGGTGGATTTAGGAGAAGCTACCGCGAAAAAAAAAACGAGCCTGAAGGGTGCCTTGCAGTTGCTGCAAACGACACTGGGACATCCAGCTGAATCTGAATCACGCTGGATTCTAAAGCCACCTCAGCAAGGACTGCAAGGACTGCAAGGGTCTGGCCAGGCGCGGGCCATCCAAACAGCTTGTCTGTGTGGCATCTATGAAACACATTTCTTGAACATAGACCAGTCTCTATATTCAAGAAATTCTGGAATCCGTTTTCCATATTATATGTTTATTGATTATGTCCATTGATTTGTCTATGTACTGAGTTTTTGTTTATTGATCAATCTAGTGACTGATTCATTCACAATTAATTTCTTTCTTAATTTACCTTATTATCCCTGTTTTCCTCTATTTGTTTATGTCCTTGTTTCGTTATTGTTATAATTGTTATATTTCTCTATTTCGTTATTCCATTAGCCTTTAGTTACGGCAAGACCCTATGGTCTGCCCGCAAGGTTAGAATGGAGTTCAAATATGATCCTTCGACATGCTCAAAAACCTGCGCAGGGCCAGTGTTTTGGTATTTACCAGACGACGAACCCTAAACCCTAAAACCCTAAAACCCTAAACCCTGCCCTAAAACCCTGAAAACTCTGAATCCGAAAGCAGAAAACACTACGTATACGCAGCATACGCAGTTCTCTTCTCATGTTCGACGACAGGGAATCCTCAATGTTGCAGTCCGGGCAAACCAGGGGGTCTGTGCGTTGAGTTATTCCTTTATTTACTCACCTTTTTTTTGATTTCATTATGTGCATTGTTGTTTTGATGTCATTATTTCAATGTTCCTTTATTTACCTTTTTCTTACATTATAATTGTTGTATGTCTTTATTCCTTTATTCAGTTTTTCCAATTCCTTTATTTGTTTCAAACAAGTGTTTATCGTGTTGTTTATGAATTTATGAATATGTTGACTCATTCATTGAGCCATTTGTGGAACTATTGCCAGTTTGCGTCTGGGAAAAAAGGAAAAACTCCGTTTCCAATCTGTGCCAAGGTGCACTGTGGACAAGGCTCCGAGAAGTGCAGGATATACAGAACCGACCGAGCCTCCTCATCCGAGGTCGCATCGCACATCGCCTTGTGCTCCTGAATAGCTACAAAAATAAGACTGAAATCTGACATTAGGAGGGTAATTTAACAGTTGGCTATGGAAAATAACCATTTTCAATAGGAAAACAATCGACAAACCGGCCATTTTCCATAGCTACGTTAAATTACCGGTACTCGCACAAACAAAGGCCATTCCAATACATCTGCCATGAAAATGATGGACAGAAACACTAGTTTACATGAAGGCTGGCAAAACGTCAATTGCACCTTCGAGGTAATGGGGAAGATAAGTTTGCCGACATCGCGGAAAGACATGTAGCCCATTGGCCGACCTAGGAGCCACACACTGACAAGCAATACGTGTATGCAATCAAGGAGAGTTTCAGGTCTATTTCAAGCAACATCCAAATTCCAATTGGTGCAAACCTCTCTCTTACAAATTATTTCCTTCATCAACAGAAGTATTGACCCATGAGATTGCCGGGAAAAATCCACTGCATCAATCCACCACCCATTGTCCAATGATTGGCCCGCAGCCCCCGCGGCATAGTTCCACTTCTTGCACAATGGCACACAAATTAGCGAATGGCACGTTGGCTTCATGCTCCTTCGCACCGCTCACGCATAAAATCCAATCAACCTTTCCATGTTGAAACTGCAGCATTTCATCCGTTCTAGACACGGTTGGCTGGCCAGAAAGAAAAAAAATAAGACCTTCGTCAGCTGCAAAAGGTCCGTGTCAAGAACGTAGCCCTGCATTCGCCAAAGTCACATCCCCACGTCTCATGTTTCTCAAGGTCGCTAACCCATTTAACCACACATCTGTTGAACATCTCAGTAATTTTTTCTTACATGTTGTTTTTTTGTCGCTTCCGGCCGTGCCTTTCCCAAAGGATCGAGGACCTTGAAGAGGGCTGCCATTCCACATCCACCAGCACCAGGCCCAATCATAGCCTCTCCAGGGGCTACAACTGCGACACGTTTGCCAAATTGATCTTGGCACCATTTAGCAGAATAATACTCATCCAAATCATCCAACCATGCGTTTTTTGAGACCACACTTCACTGCTGAAGAAACATGTCTTGTTCCACCGCCTTGGCATCTTCAGCCTCAGAGTCCCATGCAGCCTGCCGCATCATTGCCTCGTTGCTACTCCACTTGCAATCGGGCCAATATGAGAGTGAAATCCCAACACATCCTGCCGCTACCTCCATGACTCCCACTGGTTTACTCCGGTGCCGAAATTAACCAACCAAAAGTGAGATTAAAAATCAACTAGATATAACTTATTTTTCATGACGAATTGGATGTGAACGTGCAAACTGTCCTGAAGAATCGTCTTCAAAATCCGTGGTTCATCTGGTCGAGGTGGAACGCACAGAGATCCCTGCAACCACGGCAAAGTACTCGAAAACTGAAAACGGATCAAGAGCCATTTTACCAAATTGCGCATGTGGAACTCAATTTGTCGTCCGTGGCCTTGAAATAGAACGGATCAGGGGCCAACAAATGAGGCACATGTGCCCTGGGAGACAAACCCATCACAGCTCGCGTTTGGATTTTACAGATTCCAGAAACTCAACCGTACAGATATATACGTTTTTCTGAACTGGGATGTCCCGGTTCCGGTTTTCAAGAATTGTTGCCGATGATTGGTCACAAAATTGTTTAGCATTGGAAAGATATTGTTGGAACGTCGAACCATGGCTAGCTGATCTGATTCGCGCTGCACCTTGATCATCTTGCCAAAGGCGTTTGGGCAAAAAAATGTTCAGTTTGTTTGTTAAAAACAAACATGCGAGACATTTCATGCGTTCCAAGCAATGGCGTTATTGAACACAATCACTTCTCACACTTTGATTGTTTATCCCGCATTGCCATTGTTGATTCACTAGCCCTGACGAGTTAAAAATATAGTCGCATACCTACGCTCTTGTGACTTGAATGTTCGACGCGTGCACTACAACGAAACACTGGCAACAAACACACAACGTCGGTTCAGCTTTCATGGTGCCACAAACAGGTGCCACAAACAGTTTGTAATGCCAGTAATTAGTCAAGATTACGGGTGTTGAATGGACGTTTGAAGGGTCGCACTATTCTTGCAAAATTTGACATGGTCCACTTCGAGCATTGAGGTGCACATTGTCAAAACATGAAACGTGAAATTATACACCTTTGCAATCTGCGTACAAGTTCTGACCACTTTTGGAAGTTGCGATGTCGAAAAAGTGCACGCCGTTGCGGCGCGAAGCACATTTCGAAGTCAAAATGAGAAAAACACCGTGGGTTCGGACCACTTTTGGGCGTTCAGATGCCGTTTCGCGTGGCAGGCGCAAGGGATTGTGGACCTTGTCAAAAGTGAGCAAAACGTGAGGGTTTTGTAGCATTTCCAAAACCCATGGCAAGCATGGGACATTTGAAGAGGATCTGCAAAGATCTGCAAAGATGCATTTTCCGTGGCAGGCACAGTACAAGAGACATGTTCATCAGAGCTGTTAGGAGGTCCGGGCGCTGATTTCCTGAGAGGTGTTGCATTTCGGAGCCTCAGATCTTCAGGTTTGCTGAGATGATTTTGCGCGACAGGTGCAACACTTCGTATGACCTGGCATCACTTTTTCGTGGCAGGCGCAGTAGTTTAGACAGATGGAGTAGAAAAATCGCAAAACGCATTGGTACGAGGCCGACAGCTCTGCACTCAACTTTCTATGTTTGAAGGAAGTCTCGCAGATTTGTTTCGTTTTTGATGTTGTCAACTTAGAAAAATAAGGAAGTCTCGCAGAATTGCTTCGTTTTTGATGTTGTCAAGTGCAAAAATTGAGGAAGTCTCGCAGAATAGCTTCGTTTTGGATGTTGTCAAGTTCAAAAACTGCGGAAATCTCCCAGAATAGCTTCGTTTTCAAGCTTGCAGATAGACAGATAGATAGATAGACAGACAGACAGACAGATAGACAGAGAGAGAGAGAGAGAGATGGATAAGAAAGAAAGAAAGAAAAGAAAGAAAAGAAAAGAAAGAGAGAAAGAGAGAAAGAGAGAAAGAGAGAAAGAGAGAAAGAGAGAAAGAGAGAAAGAGAGAAAGAGAGAAAGAGAGAAAGAGAGATAGAGAGATAGAGAGATAGAGAGATAGAGAGATAGAGAGATAGAGAGATAGAGAGATAGATAGATAGGTAGATAGATAGATAGATAGAGAGATAGAGAGATAGAGAGATAGAGAGATAGAGGCAGGTAGATAGTTAGAGAAAGGGAAAGAAAGAGAGAGAGAGAGAGAAAGAGAGGAGACTTCAACCACCTGTCGGTCCATCAGTGGCTTCGCTCTGCCATCCGTGACTCGCAACAACCAATCTCTCCTATACGTTTCCCATTTTTGAAATTTCCGCCACCGCCTTGTGCGGTACTACTGGTAAATTTCTATACGCATACATTTACAAATTCAAACATTTATATATTGAGATTTATACATTTATATTAAATGTTGTATAATTATTATATATTCTTATTTTTTCTCACGCACCTTTTTAGCTGCGAGAATCTCCGATTCTTTGGACGGTTTTTATACTGGCCTGTCTCCAGATGTGCAATGGCAGATTGTTTTATAGTGGCCAGTCTCCAGATATGCAAAATCCAGGTTTGTGGGGGCAGGCGGCTGGCAGGGTTTCCGCAAGGATTTGGCTGGACATTGTGATGGGCGTGGCTGAGCAGGGCAAACGACCTGGAGACGCGGATGGCTGCCTGTAAGATGTCTGGGGCCTGGCGGGCTCTGGATCTGGCTAAGGAGCGCACAAAATTTGTTTCTTGGCTCCAGCGGCCCCCCGCTTCAATGGCCAGCACAACGAGCTTGCATCGTCTGGCTGTAAGCAGCTCCGGATAGGTTCGTTCTTTGCTCCTGCGTGCTGTTTGCACGGCAGCCCCCCGGCAAGTGCCTGCATGTGTGCGGGGTTGCCCTGCCCGAGTTAATGGGGAGACTAATGTTGTGCCAATGGCAAGTTAGGCCCCACCACAAAGATTCAGGCCGTTGGCGATGTCTTCAATCCTTCGGTCACGGTGGCGCTGGAGCTGGTCGAGGTTGAGGTCGGCGACTCGGGTGTGGGTTGTGACTCGGGCCCCGGCCTCTCTGCAGATTGTGGCTGCCGCTCGTTCTAAAGGGACACCCCTTCCTCTCAGAATTGTGGCTTGTGGGCATGCAGCGCGGTGGTCGCCGAGGGAGTCAGGAGCGCGACAGCACCGGCACTGCGGGCGGACAAACGCAGAGGGAGCCGCAAACGGCGGAGGAGAAGAAGGCGGAGAAGATAAGTGGGATATGTGGTGTTGGAACTGTATGGGATTGTGGTGAAAGGCCGGCTGGCATGTGGGCCGGACTGGGATTCCAACATTGCTTGGCTACAGGTTGTGGCTGGGGCTGCTGTTCGCAGCGGTGGCAAAGTCTGGGAAACGTGCTGTGCAGCGTGCTGCAGGCTGGCGAGGTCTGGCAAAGGCTGTGCAGCAGGCTGCTGGCTGCGCGAGGGAACTGTGCACAGAAATTTTCAAAGGTGCTGCAGGGGGGACGAACTTTGGCATGGTGCTGTGCTGTGCAGGCTGCTGTCCAGAGCGGTGGCGAGGTCTGGCAAAGGTGCTGTGCAGGGTGCTGTGCAGGGTGCTGCGCAGGCTGCTGGCCAGAGCGTGGTGGCGCAGGGTACTGTGCAGGGTTGCTGGGTGCAGGGTGCTTGGACAGTGCGGTGGCGAACTCTGGGAAAGGGGCTGGGTGGTGCCCAGAGTGCGGTGACGAGGTTTGGCAAAGGTGCTGTGCAGGCTGCACTGTCCGCAGGCTGCTGTGCAGGCTGCTGTCCACAGTGGAAGCCACTGCATTGCAAAGGATTATGTTGGGCACGAACATGGATTGTGCACTGCAGAGCTTCTTGAAGCTTCAACGTTGACATGCGATAGGGGTGAAACCAGTTCTGGCGGGAAGCATTGGTTCCAACGTTTGGGAACGAACAGTTCCTCGAACCTGGAACATGTGCTCCCAAGATTGGGAAGCATTGATTCCCTGGTTTGGGAACCGCTAGTTCCTAGAACTTGGAGCCCGTGGTTCCAAGATTGGGAAGCATTGGCTCGAACGTTTGGGAACTAGCAATTTCTTGAACGGGGAACCAGTGTTTCTAGGATTGGGAAGCGTTGGGGAACTAGCAGTTTCTTGAACGGGGAACCCGTGGTTCTAAGATTGGGACACGTTGGTTCCAACGTGGGGGAACCAGCTGTTCCGCTGTTGTCGCAACCAATTCGCACGGCAAAAAAAGGCGTTTCTGAAACGTTTCTATCTGGGGCCTATGCCGGTGTTTATTTTTTTTTATATGTATACAGATTTAACTGGCAGCAAAATTTTGAATCCAATGTGGAACGGGTAATCTATTGATTTGATTCAGACATCTTTGAGATAGGAACTTAACCCGAAGCGCATTTGAAATCCCCATGTAAATCAACACTATAGCGTAGTTGAATCAATATTCAAGCGCAATTCAATACGGGATGTTCTAAGTGCGGGGTTTCCACAGCAGAATGCTGGAATATATATATATTTATATATATTCTCTAAAATTCAAAACCAATGCTCTATTAAGCGCCCAAATTTGATGGCAACAAGCATGGCAACCTCGAGGGCAAAAGCAATGGCAATGGCGGTGGCAATCTGCAGGGCAACATGGAATGGATGGAAAAAACTGACGGGGGCAAAGGTAATGGCAACATCGGTGGCAAAAAACACTAGCAAATACATAGCGGGGGTAAAAACACGGGCGGCAAATTCAATGGCAAAATTTGGGTTGCGAGCAGAAGCCCTTGGCAACTCACGCGTCAACGAAAGGGCAAACTGGCATTGCGGGCAAAACCAATAACAACACAGGTAGCAAAACTATGGCACAAATTGAGGCAAGGGCTAAAGACTGGACCCGTAGGTGGGAAAAGCAGATGGCACATTGCATGGCCACAGGATATTGTATGCAGCTGTTGGCTTGCACAAGCGGCTTCTGCACAAGCGGCTTCTGAAACTGTGTCATGTGCAAAACAAGTGAACATTTTCAATCACATTGTTGTGGTGTCGAATGATCAAACTTAGTGCTCAGAAATTGTTGTGTTTACAGCTCACTTGGTCAGCAATTGCCTTTCGTCTAATGGTTTTCTGTGTTTAATTAAGCCATGCTGTAACATTGTGGGGCACGGGAAAAAATGTTGAGCAAATTATTGCCCAGGCAGCTGCCCACCTGCCCGTCAAGAAATAAGGTCGATTTTTGCCAAAATAAACCTTATTTTTGACAAAAATAAGCCTTATTTTTTGACGGGCAATGATGGCAACCAAAAACTAGTGCGGATTGTTTTGAAAGGACAAGCGTGCGCTGGGCTAAAGCTACTTTTGCGCCACCATCAAAGTGATAGTTGTAAACAACATGCCAGCCTATCATATTTGCTTGGTTTCTTGTTTTATTCATAGGGTCGGTGGGCGTGCCTCCGCTGGAAGGTACAATAGGGTTGGCATGATTTTTGTCAACATTTCTCTCTATAGTTGATGTAAG